ACAGCCCTAGATTGGCAGAATTGGGTGGAGCCAGGTGGGGTTGGAATGGCTGCAGGTGGATGTAGACTGTCCTGGATTGGCAGAGGTGGGTGGAGGGATTGAGATGGGCGGGCGGGGCTGGGTGGATTCAAATTTCAGGGAACAAGTGCATAGGGAATACCCTGGACTGGCCAAGAAGGGTGACAGGTTGAAATGGATTGGACTTGGTAGAGTTATGCATTGATGGGGCTGATGTAGTTTGGTGCTCAGGGATGTAGTTAAAATAAGAAGGAATATGACAGGATACCTCCATTGCATGTGAACTCACCTAGAATGTATGTAATAGTTTGAAAGGATTAAGAATATTTTTGGTGATGAAGGGTTTTAACAAAACATGATATAAAGGTGCAAAGTAAGATGAATATTTGCAACTGCTTCAACCAAAAGATTGGACGAGGCTTTTATGTGGTTTTATTTTTGTTCTAAAGGAGTTGATTTTCAATTCACTGACCAACTGCCTAGGGCCAAGAAAGTATCTACATTCCGGGAAGCTCCAAAAGGTAAGTGTGTATTGATTCGTTGAGCAGGTTTGTATTGTAATGAATGAGTCCAGTGATTGGCATGCATGCTGGTTTTTATTGTCATTAATTGTTTCTGGTAATGACACCAAAGATCCCTCAAAAGCCCCCTAGGCGCTGTAATTCACAAGTCTGAAGAAAGCTGCCGAGAGGAGACAGTGAGAGGCAGTTACAGTGTTAAAGGTGGGAGGAAAAGCCCAGCGGAATATTTTGGATGAAACCCGTGGAATCAGGACTGAAAACCCAATCCACGGTGGGTCTAATCCCAGACCGAGCCGGGAATCGAACCCAGACCGTAGAGGTGGAAGGCAGGGGAAGAGCCCCTATACCAACCCAACTCCCCTATACTTGTCTTTGAATTTGTTGTCCATTTTATAATTCATTGCAATAGACCAAAGTTTAAGATTCCAACCTCCTTCACAAAGTAGTTTCCATGAATTTGAAAGTGAGTGTGGAGCTGATTATGAAGTGTATTTTTTTTTCTTCCCGACAGACAAAGAGTAACAAGGAGTTGTATGCGTTTCTCTTCAATGACTTCTTGCTGTTCACACAGCCCGTTAAACCTGGTTTACAACCATTTGTAGCTTCTAATAGCAAGCGAACGGTGGAATATCGCATGTACAGACAAGTAAGCAGCTATGCTAATCCATCTGTTAGCTTGATTGTTGACTTTTGAGGGAAAAAATGAGACAGAGGTTTGTGGAAAAAATCTCTGAAATCTGGCATACAGTGCAATTTTTTTCACAAGAATGTTCGTATTACAAAATGTTCTAAATATTGTCATCCCTAGCCTCTATTTCTGAATGAAGTTGATGTGAAGTCGACAAATGATGGTGGATCTAATGACTTTGTCTTCAACATCAACCACATCGACAAGGTATACTCGCTGCGTGCCGAGAGCACCAATGACAAGAATCGTTGGATGGAAAAGATCCAAGCAGCCTCTAAGAACTACATCGAGACAGAGAAGAAGAAACGAGAGAAGCTGCAGAGAGGTCAGTGACCTTGACTCTTAAAGGGATTGTCCCATCATTGTTTCATTGTCCTTTCTTGGTCCAACCACAAGATTTATCTCGGCCATGATTTCTCCATGGCATCCTAGGATCTTTTTTTTTACAGCCCTTCTTATTACAACACGATCCTGTCACCGAACTGTGCTTACAACAAACAGAAACTTGTCCAGGAAATAAACATGCAGGCCAGGCCCATACCTAGCTAACCTGTAAAATATGCCTCTAGTTTGCACAGAATTTTCCACTATAATTGTCAAAATTCCTCACAGCAAAGGAGCCCCAATATTAGGTTCTGTGACCCAAATAAAAGTGATATGTTTCTGATGACTTGCATTGTCATGGTGTTTTGTTCTTCGTTACAGCTCGTTCTATGAGAAGCAAGGGCGTAGGAAGACTATTGGTTGTCATCATTGAAGGTCACGACTTCAAACCGTCCAATAATATTACAGGTAACAACCAACCAACCAGATAGTATGCTCTTGGGCCAAGAATTAAAGACAAAACAAATCTCTTTTTCTCTTCTTTTTTTTTCAAATATTTATGGTTTCCTAATATTGAGATAAATATAGCTTGAATTTGATACCAGTCCTTGACGTTAAGCTTTGAATCACTTAATATATTTTAGCAAGTTTCTTCCTATAATATGAGAAAAGGTCTGATTTTTTAGTTCTCAAGTAATTTTTAGAATCACCAGAATATCTTCTGACAAGAGTAGTTGAACTATTGTTGACACTTTGATCAAGTTTCATGATTTGTAGTCAGCCATGATCACTCCTTGATGCATCAATCTTGGTTTCCTCCTTTCGTTCTTCCCAGGCCGTGCTGATCCATACTGTGAAGTGCGTATGGGATCTCAAGAGCATCGTACCCGTGTTGTCCCAGACACTCTGAGTCCAGTCTGGGATGCCTCGATGCAGTTCACAGTCAAAGATCTTGAGCAGGATGTGTTGTGTATCACTGTGTATGACAGAGATCTCTTCTCACCCAATGGTAAGTTCAACAAATTATGATAATCAAGGAAACTCTTCAATGTTCTTTTTCTCTGTGAAATGCTCATGTGAAATCCACAAAGGTGCTTGGTTAATTTAATGTTTCGCTAGCTGGCAACACATCTGTATTGATAGATAGGATCCTAAGAATCGATTTTCTTCTTTTTAAAGTGTGCTTATTTTATTTTTTGTGGTTTGCTTTTGTCCAGATTTTCTTGGTCGGACCGAAGTGCGTGTTGCCGACGTCATCAAGGAGAGAAAAGGTCGGGAACCTTTGACGAAGCAGTTACTCCTCCATGAAGTATCTACTGGGGAAGTCCTGGTCAAATTAGACTTACATCTTTACGATCAATCAACGTGTTGATATAATCCATCCATGACCCCCCCCCAACCCAAATAAAATCTGCCAAGTCCATAATTTTCTCTTCAACGTTATGGCCAAGCTTGGCCTTGTATCTCATCAGTCTTTCAAAATAGTGATGTAGGTGGATCGTCTGACCCTAATTAAAATCCACTACATCCATTTGCGCTCCGATCACATACCTGGCAAAGTCTTGCTCAGATTTCAGAAAGTTTATCACAACTATTGAGAGAATCACAAGCAGGTGGAAGGAAAAAACAGAATGGATTTTTTCAAACTTGAAGAACAAAAATGTGAAATGAACAAAAACTGTACTAGTCACAGTTCAATTGCCCTTTGCCCCTTTGAAAGAATGCTAACATCTTCAGGTGCCTTCTTGACATTTTGCCAAGTCTGTGCCATCAGAATGTATACTGTAATGTCTGCTTGGAACAATTAAGTTTTGAAGAAAGTGGTCTTTGAAAGATTCCATTTATCAACAGGATAATTCTTGCCGATGTTGAAGATAAAATGTGTTCAGGATTGAAACCAGGAGATGTCTTCATGAGACAGTTTACGATCACGTCATCTCTTGGATCAACTATAAAGTATTGCCCTGCAATAGTTGACATTTTGTGGTGTTTTTAAAATATTATATGTGTTTATCTCTGTGTCCTTTGTCTTTGATTTGGTAAGGAGATGGGAAGGGTCATGGACCTCCACCACTCCTTTGTAAATCTTATTTTGCCAACTTATAAAACCACTGTTCTCTTCACGCTTGTAGTATAAACTTTCTGCTTCAGCCCAAGAACACAGAAGCCGTGAGACTACTGGATTTGGATTATTTTTACAACTGAATAACAGTAATGGTGCATAACAGGCCCCATCCATAAGGAGAGAAATGTACAGAAATTCAGAACAGTTTGTCTCGTAAGAATGGTGCCCTCCTCTGTTACCGTTCTTCAGCAGTACTTGCCAGTTCATGCATTGTCCACTGTACAAATGTTGACCAAAATAATGTAAATTGAGTCTTTGCCCTAGACTTTTCAAGGATATAAGCATTCTTGAAGTCAAACTTGTAGCTGTATGAGCATTTAGCATGATCTACGCTAACCCACAAAATGCACTTACCATCACCACAGATCTGTTCTGCTAACATAAACTGGAATGTTTCTTCTAGGGGTAGACGGAGCTTGTAAATTTTGACTCTGAATGAGTTGATTGGTTGTTGAAGACCTTTACAACTTGATGTGTTGAAGAAAAAAAGTTAGCAGTTTTTTTCTGGCCAGTACAGTCCTCAAATAAACACATTGTTTTCAAGTAGTTGCAGTCTAAATGTTAACTTTGCTAAACAATTACGCACATGTAAAAATGGCAATGTGTATTTATTTATAAAATGTAAAAACTTTAGGCTTTCTCTTTGTTTTTTAAGCTTAATGGTGGTCCTGGTTACACAGGCCTCTGATGAGCTTCCATAGAAATATGTTATGTACTTATTGATGATATCTTAGCATAAAGTGTAGCATCAAATTTAACATGTACAGAGTTAGACAAATCAAATGAAAAGTTGCCAGGATATTGGAAGGAAATCTGTTTTATATGCCGTCGGTATTTAGAAGCACTCAAAAGCCAAAAATTATTATCAACTTGAATTTCTGTCAGTATCAGCCATCAGAAAACAGGCAGTGTATATAGAACTTTTTATTGATTTGTGACTATCAGAAATGTTTTTTTTTTTGGCGACAAAGAAAGAAATGCTTTGCTTCAAGTTGCAATAAGCAAATCATGCATGTTGATAATGAATAAAGACAAAGTTCCTAAGGAAAAATGAAAATATTTACTTCTGAAAAGATTCCAGAAAATAAGAGCCATTCTATCCAATGTGAACTTAATCTGCAGATCTGTATATATAGATCAGAAATTCACTGTATTTTAGGTCTTTGTACTTATTTTTCTAAATCAAAGCTTCCACCTCATTGATATCATTAGCCTTAGGACCAAAGCATGCAGCTGCCAATATATACCCAGGTGTTTCTTAAAAAAAATTCAAGGAGCAAAGATGTCAACATTCTTCATGCAAGTCTGGCATTGTATGGTTGCAATCACTTCGGTGAGCTTCTGAGTTTGTCTACAACTCAAGTCTTTCAAGGCGTGTATGCTCACCAAAATATCACTAAGAGCAGATCTCTGCAGTTTTCCTTGTGTCTGTAACAACAAAGAAAGCCCTACAGTCGACCAATTCTGACCACTTCACCATAATCTTCCCACAGGCACCATGGTCAAGGTATGACGTATCAACCCAACAGTTTCCGAAATTCTTAGGGTTGTAAATGAGCTTGAAAAAATCTAAGAGTTGTCATCTTCCATGAGAAATAATTTAATCTTTATAGTCACGTACCGAGTATTGAATGTTTATGTATTGATCAATATGTTGCGCACTTATTGAAATTTATGCAGAGCGATTGATATGTATTATAATGATAAACTATCTGTGAATATATTTTAAATTCCAAAAAGAAAATCTATTGAACAGTATAAATATGTAACATTGGTAAGGGTCAAGTTGGTGACAAGTTTCATGTTTCACTCTAAAGAAAAAGAAAAACAAATCAAGGATGAACGTGTACATGTGAGATTGTGTTAACTTATTTCAAGGGAAATAATGTTACAAAAAGAAAAAGACGTAATCGGATCATCAACAAAGAGCCACTTTATTTCACAAACTCCTACTGAATCATGCACACTTTTAGGAAACAAAACAGCAATAAAAGGCTCCACATGACATCTCTGGACTGGTGCCAATAATTTAAAGACCCAATCCATGGTAATGTAGACTGCAGTCTACTGGGAACTCATCCAAGATGTCGTAAAGAGAGACCAATACTCCATGTGATTGAACTGAATTGGGAAATGTGAAATCTGCAAGGAACAATGGTCCAAAAAACAAAATCACAGACTTGGATTGAAAGTTGCTACGGCTAACCTCAGAATTCCTAAACACAGTTTCCACTTTGTTAATTTCTTTCAAAATAGATTAGAATAAATGTTGACTAGAAACTTGCATTAAAAACTCTTTAAACCTTGCCAGCTGCCCCATGGAACACTGCATTAAAGGGTTATACTCTCTGCTGGCTCTGTCCATGCAAAGCGGATAACGGGTTTGTGTAACATCACGGATGGGTAACGACATTTGAACAGGCCATTGACCAGCCTAGCAAACAATTCCATGAATACTACCACTGTTGGCATATATCATGACATCGGGTGTTTCCAGGCACGCCTTTATTCCCAGAATAATTCACCCTCTGTAACTTTGTAGTATCACATCTGTATATATTTTCCTATGTCTCAGCTCCATACCCCCCTTCAACAGCTTCACCAGGCAGCAGATATTCCTCGATTAAATGGCCTCTTTTATGAGGTTTGTCATCGTCTTGACCTGGGTGGCTGTTGACATGTCTACGTACTTGTCACCAATCTCAACCACCATCCCACCCAGGACAGATGGATCCACCTGAGACAGAAAAAACAAGCATCTGAAACCATGTACAGTCAACTCTTGAAACATGTATAAAGGGTTTGCATGGCTGCCTTCTTGCAGGCCAATTCTTTTGTTCCACAGGGTATGCACAAAAGCGGTTTCCCTGTGGAACAAAAGAACTGCCCTACAAGATGGCTACCGTGCAAAGCCCCCATTGCAATACTGTTTTTTACCCTAGCATGAACTATAAGAGTGCTGTCAGTTCTACAAGACCCACCTGCAAGTTCATCTGAAGTGTTTCTCCCTTTTTAATGAAACCTTGCAAAGCGCTCTGAACCTCCTTCTGTTGGCTTGCATCCAGTGGCTACAAAAATTTGACATTTACACTGATTAGAGGAAATCATACACATTCCTGCAACTACAGATTAACAATTATTACTCCTGACTTGCATGCCTTTGCTTAGCTTTAATAAGAGTCAACACAGTCCATTGGCTTTATACAGTGCCATCTTGGAGTAGTTAATCACAATTAGCCTTTTAGAAGCATGGCCGACACAATAATAGGAGGGCGCTATTTGGTTTGGGTAAAATCTTTTGTTTGCTCCAAATTTACCCACTTCAAATAGCGTCCTCCTGGTGTGTCCGCCATGCTTCTAAAAGGCTAACACGGGGAAGACTAAAGGTACTGCTGTAAAGCCTCTTGCTCAGGAACACAAGTCATGTAATCCAACGGCATTCATGTCAAAGGAGATTACTACATTGGGTAGAGGGAGGTGTCTAGTTTGGGGGTGTCAGTGTTCAGAAATACCTTGGCTGTAGTAATAGTGCAGACGACCTCTCCTCTATGAGCACTCATAATGCGAGACCAAGCACTGAAGATATCCTTCATTTTGCCCAGCCGATTGTTCTCAGCCAAGACAGTCATGAAGTTGGCGGTGGTGGCAGACATCTTCTGGCTCTGCATGAAGTCACCCAGTACACCTAATAAAGAAACGACAGCCCTGGCAGTAAACATAGGTGTGGTCTTCTCTTTGTGTAAACTGTGAATGGCACTGTGTGGCCTACACATGAGACTCGGGGGGAGAATGCATCTTATACTCTGAACGACTCTCAACCCTCAGACTGGTTCACAGTGAATGTCACCAATTATCAAGGAAAAGTGAAGGATTCTTACAAACATACTATATCGGGGAACACTTACTGATTTTGTTCTGTCTGTTGATGACAGGATTACTGATGAAATCTGCCAGTTTCACATTTTTCTGTAGGTTTTCCTGTGAACAGAATGCATTGCTAGAATTAAGAACAAAATCAGCTGAATATGAAACCATGATTAAACAAAGTAACCCACCCCCCTTAGCTAAAATGTTCCCCATGAATATGACCATCTAAGAGAATTTCTTACATGAACAAAGATTAACACTGAGATTCTTTAAACTTTAATCATAACAACACCGTTACTGAGAGGAATACTGATTTGTTTTTTACAAATAAAATCACACATCATCAGGCAATGTACTCTTGCAAAAGTCTAATCACGCATGTTATCCAGTTATCAAACATAATTTTCAGTTGACCTGGATTCTCTGCCTGACCCTTCACCTCTTACCTCTACTGACTTAAGCTCTTTATCGATAACGTCTAGCTTCTTATCTTTAACGGCTGCAGAGTAGAGAGCATGGGCGTAGCGTCCACCAAGGCCATAGACCTGGATAGGAGGCTAGTGAAACAATCCAAACATCACAAAAAAAAGTTGTACAATAGAAACTTTTCTACTTAACAACTAATTCAGCGAGATGTATGAGAGTCTGCTCTAGACTTGGAAAGGATGTTTCAAAATAGCTCTTACAACTTGAAACTTTTTCGACAACCTATATAATAAACCCTATGCAAAGATGCAATTGGCACCAAGTTGTCTTAGTCCTATCAGTCAAAATCAGTCAAATGACATGATATGTCTATGTACTGAGGGAGAAATGGAAGGAATTTTTGACTGGCTATGACTGCTGTAGCAAATAAAAATGACACGACTCGGGCATATGATGGAATGAGTTGATAACTGAATTAATTATAAATAGACAATTACCTCCACAGGCATGACAGGGACTAAGACATAATCAGCATGAGGAAGAAGCGACTGTTTACAAACTGAGGAGTAATTGCAGAATACCCCACTACTCTAAAAAAGCGACCCTTGGAATGACTGGTTACGTGGGTACAAGGTGAAAATCCCTTGAGAAGAGTGTGACACTTTGACTTGTACCTGGCTATGAGGTTGATCATGCAGGGTGGCGGGGTATTCTACAATTGAGCTCAAACAGATAGTTAACCTTCAGTCTTTTAAAATTAATTTCACTAGGCCCATGTCAAAATAAAGTGAAAATATCATGAACAAATGAACGTGTTGAAAGTAAATCATTTGAACAGTTGATGACAGGACTAGGCCTAGCTAGGTCCTCCTACCTTGACTAACTGGGCCCCAGCACTCGACGTGCTGAACTGTCGAACCTGTTGAAAAATTAGGAACGAACCATCAGTGAACTGACACTAGCAGAGAAATAGACCTAAGCCCTTAAACTTTAAGAAAATTGTAAGACTTAGTGTCGGAATTAAACACCTTGTCATTCATCTCGTACAGTCGTGACTAACCCTCATTCATGTCATTCTGCCTTCCAATGATTGTAAAGCCGACGCAAACTGGTCACAATTGGTGACTGTTTTCCAAATATGTAACCCCTTCTGTCTCATTAGAATAACAAAGTCTTTATGTTTATGTTATATATGTTAAATAGAGTTACACTTTATGAAAATCCTTAGGGGAGAAAAGTAAAATTTATTACCAGAAGTGAGAATCTGCAAGTAGCCATCACGCACGGACAGACGGACGCATATCAGCCGGCTAAAAGTGCGCCCCCTATCCTTGGAAATTTTTAACTATAATTTTCTTCATTTTGGGGGAAAATATCTTTCTTTGGGAAAATAAATGTTTTCCTTTTCAAAGTCAAATATCTTAATGAGCTAATTTAATGGCTTTAGTATTGAATAAACGTCACTCGAAATTAGAGCTTTTAGAGGTACAAAGTAGTTTTACAGAGCGAGCCTAGAGTTCACCCGGCTGGCCCCGTACATGTGCTATACTATGTGCTAGAAGTTCAAGTAGAACTTCAAGTGATTTGACGCTTCGTTGTGTGAGAATAATCACAGTCATAAATTCATCATGCCTGGTTATGAAATGGCGCTGATTATGAGAGTTATGAAAAGGGTAATTATTACAACTCGTACATCGATCATGTCGATCCAGCCATCATGGCCATGAGCCTCCTTCTTTGCTGTTGATGTTGCAACTTGAGTTATATGAAGTTTGTTGACATGGAAGAGAACCAGCAGACCTGTTTAAAATAACTTGGCTTTATTAGGCCTATCAACATTAAATATTATCTAGCCTAGTAGTTCTTGATATATTTCGAAGTGATTTTTTGCGTAATATGCTCAGTTTGCGTAAGTGTGACATGTTTGAAGACCCGCCAAGTTATTTCAAGAAACTTGAAGGCATTCCATAAGCCTTGAAACAGTACTAGGGCCTAAGGTCATAACGATATTGATAATGTGGGTTTTTGAAATCCAGCCTCACTAAGCGAATTGTTTGTGTATGTCATTTTACGACCTACGAACGCACAGTAACAACAGTGCTTGTGGGTACATTGAATGCCTGTGAGCTTCTTGAAGTATTGCTCACTTCAATATGTTCAGTATGTGGAACTGAAGGTTTTATAAAGGTGAGTTGTGTCTTTTTCTCATGTAGTCAGATTTAATTGAGGCCGTGAAGCGATCAGTGGGTGCTGTTATTGAACAAGGAGGCATTGTAAAGAAACTGGAGAACCTTGGAGAGAAAAGACTACCATATCAGATGAACGTGCATGCACAGAAGTTCACAAGAGGACAGTAAGTGAAGAAGTTGAAGCATTAGTTTCCAAGGAATCCTTTCTAATAATCTTCAAATCCATGAATGTGAATAACTGAAAGGTCATGGGCAGAGATAAAGTGGATGGTTTAAGAGGGTTTTTCACATTTTCTTGTATTTTATCTTGTTTTTGCAGTTATTTTGTGTTGGAATTTGACTCTCCTCCAAATACGCTAGCATCTCTTCAGGAGTACCTTCATCGGGATGTTGACGTCATCAAACCCACCATCTTGAATAGAGAGACGGAGACAAGGGAACCGCCCCCTTGTCCTGGACCTTACACAGGACGCTACAGCACCCCAGAGAAGAGTGTACGAAACCCTGGCAAAATCAGGCGTGATGTCAAGCTGGATGACTTGTCAAAATAGAAAGAGCTTCTTCGTATTCTCAAAATGTGGAGCTGTCTTCAGAACAAGCGTGCTAGACTCCGTGGCAGATTCTAGCTAGAGTTGTGTATGACTGCAGTGTCAGGCAATGTGAAGAGTTCACAGGAACTCAGTTCAGTGAAGATGATGTCATCGACAGGGTCAGGACCCGATGGGAGGAAAACATCCATTTTCTTGGTGGACAAAATTGTTGCACAGACTTCGCTCACCTTGGCACAAAAGGCTTACTTGGTGGATTGATACTTGACTCAAAAATGACATGCAAATACTTACTGCTAATGACAGCATTGGCATTTGTGCCGAGGTAAAATTGAGCTACTTTTGTCAACAGGTCTTGTTCTACTTGAAAAAAAATTCATTTACAATTTCGTTATTTCAAAACAAGGATATTACACACTTTGTATATTAACCCTAACATTCCTCAATCCTTCACCTGCTGGAGGACTGAGGACTGTTAGGGTTAATGGTTGAACATGAGCACACACACAGCCAAGTGTGTGAAGGCCTTCAATCATGGACTCCCTATTGTTCCTCTTTTGTTCATACTTTAACTTTTTCGGAAGACCTCCCATATGTTTTGTACACATTTTCCTACCGTGGACTCTTCGGCAACCGTGGACCCTATTGTTATAGGTCCCAGATTGAAGGCGTTTACACACTCATTAAGACTGTTTTACCCCATTTGTACACTGTTTTCTTGTCTAGGAATGAACAGAAGGTTTGAAAAAAATAGCGTGACATGTTTTATTTCGTCATCAAAAGCAGTGAAATAAGTCAAGTGTATAAAACCAATGGAAGATGAGTTTCCACACTCCGTTTTTCTCCTTTAATCTTGTTCTCAGTTGTGTGTACTAAAACACGCCCTTATAAAGTCTTGAGTTTATAGGCATTGTCAATGAGTAACAACACTTGTTACGTTGGCCAATCGATGTAGTCACCTGCCATCTCATCTTATAGTGTCAGTTGAAGTCTGTCGCTACCTCAAAGCAAAACTTTAAATGGGGGGGTGTTTTGCTGTGCTGTGTAGGACACTTCTCTACTTTGGAAACTTTTTTCTTCAGCTGTTTTGATTAAAGGTCTTATCAAAATTTTATGTAGGCCTAAAGGAAGTGGTTTTTTCTCTCGCTCTCTCTGGCATGTTGACTTGTGATGAGTGCATTGAAACCGTGAGCACTTTTTTAATCTGTGGAAAGTGTTGATGTGACTCGTAAGTGAAAGTTTTAACATGATCTAAGGAAATCATGCCTTTTTTCAGAGGAAAGTTGTTCAAAAACGCATTTGATTATGATGTCCACGACCAATGATGTCCAATCCAAAAAGAAATAGCCGAAAGCGCATGAACATGCGTCCTTCACAGTGGCAATAGAGGGCGGGCTATATGTGTCACGAGCACAGACTAGACGTGGACGTACCAAGACAGAAACGCTGAATCATAACAAACACAAAACGTGGACGGAAACTTCGAAAAGGTGAGCTCTGTAACCCATCAAAAACATGATTTTATCATGGAATGAGATGGACCAAGTATGGGATGCTATCAAAATTCGTAGGTACTGCCACTAGTGGTTTTTGTTTCTAATAGGATGTTATTAAACAGAAGTTGATTCTAAATGTCCCTGGTCTCGTCGTGAGTACAACGTTCGTCGTGTTTGTGACCCACTATAATCAGCTCATACAACCTTGCACAGTTGTGCGTGTATAGAGGGGCTTGTGGGGGGTTTACCGGAGTACTTGTGGGGTACTGAGACGGTACCCGACAAGGATTTCACGAAATAGATATTTCAAATTTAGTCAAAAGGAGGAATTTTCAAGTGCCATTCATGTGTTGCAAAATGTAGTATTTTAAATAAGGGACGTTAAGTCGAATTTCCAAAGCAGGAAAGGGAATCTGGTCCAAAATGGGAGTGATTTGAAAAATTTTGCGTTTTGTGTGAGAGTTTTGTACACAAGAACAAAGGGAATACCCCCACAAGTATAGCTGTGTAAGGTTGTGTGAACGCTCTGGTGCCAGCTAGGCGTGGGTTACTTCAACCATTTGTAATTAATACTATTATTGTTACCTTTACCACTTTTAATGTAAATGTTAAGCCATTTGATTTCAAGAACAACAGATCTGGAAACAAGATATAGGCCTACCGGTAGATCCTACCAAATCTGAAGAAATTATTGGATACCATTTAACATAATGTATATGTTGCCAGGTTTCTTACATGTATGTCGCCACTTAAAGTTACTGTAAAAACCAATCCAACTTGACAGTAGGTGGCAAAATAGGGACCTTGTGACAATACGTTCACACTCAAAAGGCGTACTGAGTAGTAGTCAGGTAGTGCGTTACCCCCGGAACTGTGGGGTCCGATGTCCACCCTGGGACTGGGGTGGACGTCGGACCCCACAGTTCTTGGGGTAGTACTAGTAGTGCGTACTGCATGTCTGTTATGTCAGTATCAATCTTCATGTTCTTTGTAACAGTTTCTAACGGTTGCAAGGAAATCTTGTTTTTGAGATTTGTATTTCTTCTGGAGAAACAAAGAGTTGTGCTTTTACCAGACCTACTTGGAAAGTCGTTGAATTTGTGTGTTTGCTAGTATTAAGCTTAAACTAACTTGTTTAGTGAGTATTGCAGCAATTGTTTATCGCACATTTACAAGAAATAAGGACAGTTTTGTAGTCAAGTCCACCACTTCTGAGTCCTAGTTTGATTTTTAATTTTAATTTTTTGGTACGAACATGACGAAGGTGTTGTTCAAGTTTACAGTGTTGGGGTACCAAAGATAAAACAACAGTCATTTTAGGATGAACTTGTGTTAGGCTGAGGTTGAATCCTTGAGTCTTTACACCTGAATCCACAAAAACTGAGTCCAAAGTCTGTCAAAAAGTGGATTCAAGTCCAGATGATTTGTTGTTTATTTCTGATTGATACCAAGATTGTTCTGCTTTGTCCTGATATATAAAAGGTTGAGGCTCGTCAGATATTGCGCCTCTGTTGCTTACTGTAACAAATTACAATCAACCAATATCACATCGTTCCTAGTATGGCAGTGTCAGCGCACTGTTTCTAAGCTTAAGGTCAAGTGTAGGTCAAGCAAGAATTGTATAGCTGCATACATGTTCATTGTGTCCACGTCGCAGTATGATTATCTGGGCAAGTTAGATTTCATTTGGATTTATCATGAGTGTATTGTCAGAGCTACCTTGGTGTGGCCACTCAGTTTGTTTTCATGAAAAAAGGGTTTGAAAAAAATATTGGTACACAATTGTTTATAATCCAGGCATTGTCAGTAACGTTGAATCTTGATAAAACCTGCCCGTTGTGACTGGATCAAGTCTTTTCCCAGTAAATAAAGTGACTTGTTTACCATATCAGAGAGAGCCTCAGTTATTCCATTATCAGCGGTGCACTTTGCCCGTGGTACAACTCTGGACACAAATCATGTTAAAGTACTTGCACGCACATCACAACATCAGCAGTTAATTAATCTAATGGATTAATGATACCATGTTGCATGAACGGACTCAGTGACAAGCATCAGGAGTCCTTCTGTATGTGTTACTGAATTCTCATCTTTCTGCTGGAAACTTTTACAATTAAAGTGGCTAAAATTGTCAGCAGTGAAAGCAATGAAATACTTGTCTTTCAAAAAAGTCATTGTTTATTCTGTTATGCAAATCACTTTTAATTAATGAATTCTTCCCATGTGTTTCTTGTATTGTTTTTTGTTAAAGCATATTAGATAGTCAAGTTGTTTTAGCCGTTCATTTTCCTGTCTGTGGTATTGTATGTGAAGCACTCTGGTTACTAAGTTTATGTAATTATATACATGTACATGTACTTATCTAATGTCCCTTCAGTATAATCTTTATATCACATCTTGTTATGTAATGTCCTTTCCATAAACATGCCTTTGCTGTGAATCATTGTGCATAAACAACAATGTTTGATCGATGTAAGCACATGCATGGTAAATCATGACCAAATGTTGCTAAACACTTGTCTAAAGGTCATCAAATTGGGTAAAGTATGTAGAAATGCTCTTCAATTACTTGCTCTGTTGTATCCAAATTCCAGATAAATACATCAAAGTGGTCAGCATTGGGGATGTGATTCAAGACGATTCCAACCAATCACAAGTCTTCCATAGCATTGTTACCTCTCACCCTGCCTCCTCTTCAGCCCTTGTCCATATCCTCCCAGCATCATGGGTTTGGCCTCCTCCTTCAAGGGTTCCCCCTTGGTCCAGATGGTCCTCTGTGTTACCTTCATCATCAGCGGTGTGCTGGTCATTCTCATGCAGTTAGCAGCATTAGTTGTCATCCGTCCATTCAACAAGCGTCTCTATCGGGTCATTGTCTGTAACGTGGTGTACCTTCACTGGGGACGTAAGTCTCTGTATACCTCCAACCCTAACCCTATAAACAAACCTAATTCTTGGCAACGTGATGACAACACAAAGTGGGCTATTGATCGTATTAAAAAAAAATCTATCAGTGCACATTATTAGTTGGAAGATTGTTCTCTGGTTCTTCACCAAAGAAGGTTGGAATAAGTATCAACCTCCAGGAAGGTATTATTGCATTTGTAAGAAAATGGGGAAAAAGGGATTTTACTCATGGAAGTTTCTGACTTACTTGCAAATATTCCATGGATATCTTGAGATAAAACGTTTGTAAATTTCAAATTCCAGCTACTGCAGTAAAGCCATATGATGATCTTATGATGATTGACTTGTTTCTTTCAGAGCTAATTTGGCTTTGTGACCATTGGTCAGGAACAGAGGTTCGCATCTTTGCCGACGAGGAGTTCCGGAAGATTTGCGGAAAGGAGCACTGTGTTATGATTGCCAATCACAGGAACGATGTGGATTGGCTAGCTATCTGGGTGATTGCTGATAGATTTGGTATCTTGCAAGTGAGTTATTGGTATGCTTTCATCCCTACATGGGAATGGATACCTAATTGGGAGTAAGGTTCTTCAATGCTTGCCAAATGAAAGAACTTGGGAAATTTTGTCATTACTGCGTCATTTTTTTTTTCCTCTTTTCCTTCCCATTGTCTGTGCCTTCGTCCATTTCTGGCAGCAAGCCAAATGCTTGATGAAGAATGAGCTGAAGTACGTCCCGTTGGTCGGTTGGTCATTTGCAATGCTTGAGATGATCTTTGTCAAGCGAGACTTTGCCCGGGACAAGGAGACGATGATTAACGGGTTCCGCAACTACATTACCTATCCCTTGAAATGCATGGTAAGTTGAGTAAGCATTCATTCAACAGGTGTATGTTATATAGATATAATCACTGAAGAAATTTCACCTGCTTATTTTGGACAGATCTTGTTATTCTGTGAAGGAACTCGCTTCACTCAAGAGAAGCATACCAAGGGTTTAGCATTTGCCAAAGAGAAAGGATTGAAACAACTTAAGCATCACCTCATGCCTAGAACAAAAGGCTTTGTGGTTGCCATGGAGGCATTTGATGGTCAAGGTACTATTTTTTTCTATATCATTTTGTTCTGTTTTGTTTTGTTCTGAGTTACTGCGTTTTTCATGATTCCTATCTGTTCTATAGCAACTTAGACTTTTCCCTTGTTCTAAGTTTCATGGGATGATCAAAGTTTTCAAGGAAAGTAACGTGTACATTTACTGATGATAAATGTGTTCAAGTTTCCCATGCCATTGCCTCTGGAATGGTGTCAAAATTACCCATCAAAAATGACAATGAAATGAATAGAAATGTGTTGGCTCTGATTGTTTTGAGACAGTTCTAATGCAGTAGGTTGGACTGTATCTTTATTTCAGTGCCTGCGGTATACGACTTAACCTTTGGTGTCAGCCAAACTGATTCCAAACCGACCTTAGTAAACCTGCTTAGAGGAAAGAAGTTTGTCTTCAATTTTCATGCTGTGTAAGTTAGTCCTTGGTGTCAATTGGGGAATTTTCGTAAAGTTATCAAAGAGGAAATGGACATCTGCATACAGCAGCTGTCGATCATGAAGTTTTATCAATGGTTCTTAATTACATTGGAGGACTTTTGTAGTTTCAAACCAGAAGGCTTAGTGATGAAAAAATTTATGGGATTTAGTTGTATTAAAAAACTACTGTATAAGATAGTAAGGTTTTCAGTGAGAACAGAAAATCTTTTGAGATCATGTTTTTTTCTCTTCAGAAGTTTAATGGATCGTCTTTAATTGCAGGAGGATACCCATTGCAGATGTTCCCAAGACTGAAGAAGAACAAGTCAAGTTCATTTATAACCTCTATGAGAAAAAGGTTAGTGTCAAACCATTCCAGAAAAAATTCAGTTTTATCATGTACCATCGGTTGATATGTTTTGGCAAAAATTATTGTTTTAGACTTGGTTACCATGGCAATGATTTTTTTGTTTGTTCTCTTTCAGGATGAGCTTTATGAACATTTTCTGGAGCATGACACTTTCACTGGTTATGACCACCGCTCAGGGTTTGTCATGCCCAAGCGTTGGGGACCGTTGATCGTGGAAGTGTTCTGGTTGTTGGTGCTTGGCCTTCCAACACTGTACCAACTGTTGAAAATATTGACAACAGGATCGGCAGTTGCTACGGCAACAGCCCTGGGCATTGTTGTGGTTTGTGAGTACACTTATAAAATTTATAAGGGGCATGATTTATTCTATAGTGGGCTTGCATGTCTGCCATCTTGCAGGCTAGTGCTTTTGTTCCACGGGGTATGCATAAAGGAGGTTTCCCTGTGGAACAAAAGAACTGCCCTGCAAGATGGCTACCATGCAAAGCCTTTATATCTGATTAATCATCTGAAAGTTGCCAGTTCAAAGCCTCACACATCGGAGGAAGCTTCACGTGTCCACTCAGGTTACATCATGGACTCTGTTCTTTGATAAAACTACACAGGCAAAAACATTTATATCCTTTTCTCTTGTTTTCTTTTTTGGACAATTTTTTCTCAGTGTACTTCTTAATCAAGTACATGATAGGTGCCACTGTCACAGCAAAGGGGTCTGAGTATGGTGGCAACAAACACCGAAACAAAATCCAGAATGGGAACAATTCTACCTCCGATGGGAAGAGTGACTGAAGACTGAGCTAAGATAGCTGCGGAATTCTAGAATTGGTCCTTCTACCTGCAGTAGTTCTAGTGTTCATCTGTAAAGGTCCTACAGCATCCGTAGGACCTGTAAAGGTCTTACAGCATCCGTAGGACCTGTAAAGGTCCTACAGCATCCGTAGGACCTGTAAAGGTCTTACAGCGTCCGTAGGACCTATAAAGGTCCTTCAGATGCCCTACAACATCCATAGGATCTGTAAAGGTCAGTTGAATGCTATTGTAATGAGCACCACATAAGTAGGTCAGTTTTAACAAGTATCCCTTTTGCTCTCATATTATGCACTCCTTTCGTTCCTATAGCTTCCATGAAGGAACTGCAGATGTTGTGTAGACAGTAGACACAAGGCCCCTTTGTGTCTAAATAGTTTGTGTGCACCTGTTGTATAATGTGCATGTGAATACTTTTCAACTGAATGTACACAAATTGTTTTCCTAGAAGAAAGCTGGGCATGGATACAGGACAGAAATGGCACAGTGGTGTCAATTGTATTGGAAATATTATTCAGTTTTACCTCACTTGGATTGTACTTGTGTGTGGAATGAAAACGCAGCAACCACGATACTGACGATTATTGGTAGAGCCCTCAGTTCATTATGGTGGCATTCCTTCCTACTGTCTAGTTAAAAGCCATCCCAAGTTGTCATTTCAAATTTGATTGAAAGGTTTTGAGTCGGTCTCACTGATGGATTCATGTGGAAATAATAGAGATACAACACAAGAGGGCAGTGTTCTGATGAGGTCAAAGGTGACTAAACGAATTTGCAGTTAATAAAGTGTCATTAGGGTAGGGCCTTATGTTTGTTGTGAGAGGGGACAGATGCTCCGTAAGTCATGAACACTCTCTCTTTAGTCATAAATATTGTAGATCCTGCTAACCAGTAAGTTTTAAAAAGGAAGTGTAAACAATATGGCCGTGTCTGAGTAAGTTCACTGCAGCTTGGTGTTATACACCAGTCTGTGGCTATGGCTGCAGTCAGTTCCCATAGAGTCGTGTAGTTTCAAGCCTTAGCCAAGTGATTCAGTCACAGCCTATTTACCCCAAGGCAAAAGGAGAAGCCAACTTGTTTCACAGAATGGAAAGTTTTGTTTTGCACCAGACTAGTTTGATATTTGCCGTGCCATAGCTGTGTGTATGTAGAGTTTTCCGATCATTTTTAAGACTCGGAATCTATTCTGTGGGTCTTTTTAACCCCAGATCCCACTTCCATGTGCCTTCCGTTTTGGAGCTGAACTTGAAAAACAATGCAGGTATTGAGTTGCTGATTTCAACATTCTGTTTTTACCTTCAGTTGTCAAAGTTGTCAAATGAGAGGTGAGATGGGCAAGGTGAACTTTTTTTTATAAGATGATGAGAGGTATTTGACCCCTAGACTGAGGTCGAACCATGCCTTTCTTGCAAGCAAAGAAATTTTCACAGATTATTCTTTCTTTGTAATGAATTACAAATGTTTCATTCTTTGTAATTAATCGTAAACTCTTTCCCCAGCCACCGTTCCTTAAAACCCGACTCCAGCACTCTACTTTTTAGAGAGACAATGATGCTGATTCCATAAGATTAGGTTAATACAAAAATGTAAATGCTTTTATGTTGAAGGCAGTGATGTGAATTTTGTGTTTTATATTCAAATGGCAGCTGGTAATTGAAGTGAGGAAATTTGCCATCCTTTTATGATGATTTTAATTCCAATTTGCAAATTTTATGGAACCAAAGTACTCAAACTACATAATGTATTAAAGAAGCGTATCAATATGACATATGCAGTTTAGTTACAATTGTGAATACATGTATTTATATAATAAATGCTGCTAATTTGCATACTATTATAATTTACTTTTAAGATAAATGTATTAATGAAAGGGATTATTTTGTGTGTTCATTCATACATTATTAATTACTTCCCTCAAAGTTATTTGTATTTCATAAATGCTGCTGATATTGAACTATGTACTGTATGTAATCCAGTGGTATTATGTTTGATTATGTTTGATAAATAAACAAATCGCAGGATTTAGTTATTAAAGATTTATGATGCTCCCCTTTTTGCTTTTATACTTTGCATTTTGGGATGTATATAATGCAAAAGGGTTTAATGGTGTGCTTGACGATGGAAAAGCTGTAGTCGTCTCGCGCAGAATGTGACCAGCTGCCTATGAAACTGCCCTCCTTGTTGGAATTTTGCAATTAACCTTTTTATTTTTCTGAAGCCTATTGCTAGGCCTATTTGCTGCCCTCAAGTGGTTATGCACAGAGTCGATAAAGTGAACTTGTAGCACAGGTACTGACGGCACTCCTTGTATTGCGGCGTACTTCAAAATTTTACGTTATCCCGAAATCATATTTTGTAATCCCAACCGTTCCTGTGATGACAATTGCTGATTTTTTTTAAACATCAGTTAAATGTTATGTTTTTATTAGTAAACTTGTCCATCGATTTGTCTTCCAGATCTGTTATTATGCCAAATAAACTAACGTGTATTGAGTACAAGTACCGTATTCCATCAGCTCCAAGGCCTCATTTGTCAATCGGCTTGTCTTATCAATCTTCCTGCGCACGACATTAATCAATAAGCCATTGATCGTCGGGGTCGTCAGTATTCAATTCAATCTTAGTTTTTGTTCAATTAATTCAGGCAATCACAGTGGCTTCGTAGGATGGGTATGATCTTCGATCACCATCTTCCTGTTTCGGGACCTGCGTCGATATCTGTGCACCCGGCGCATTTATCAAAACCACTCACTCCAAAGGGGCAACAAGTCCATCTTTGTCTCTGGCACGTCGTTTGCTTGTGGCGTTGTTGCAGGTGAAACAGACTAAAGGAAACTTATTAGAAATACAACTTTCAGCTTAAAGTTGAATTTTATTACTGTCTCCGGCAAATTTCCGGCTTCAGATTCATGCTAGCAGCCCCTAGGGCAAAATAACAGAATCACAAAAACCAACAAGATATTTTTTAATTTCTTGTTACGATTTGTAGATATTTTGATTTTTCCCAGTTCTGATGCTCTGATTCTCTTCTGCAGGCTAGGCGTTGCTGCTATTCACGATCTGGCAAATGGCGTCAAACCGAGTGAAGTACGCGAACGAATCCTGAATGATATCACCGTCTATGTCATTGAAGATTCCAGAAGAGGAACCACCAATCGTGTGCTGTACACCGCTCCACCGCAGTATTAATGAGACAAAAGTGGCTCCCGTGACCAGTTTCTATTCAGGCAGATTGAGCATGTGCGTCGAGGGCCGCTAAAATAACCGTAGTCACAAGATATGCTCATGTGCGCGAAAATGTCAGGATACAAATCCAGCATGGGGTAATATTAACATGGCATACAGTGTTCTCGAGTCACGTCTTTATTGTTCTTGTCGTTGAAAAGGTACTTTATCATCAGTCTAACCTGTAACCGTGAATGTAGAAATGCATCAACCATGGCACTGTTGATAGTTTTGATTATCGTCTGTGTTCTTACAGGCAACCCGTGACCACCGTACAAAATACTCATATGGACTTTCTCAGAAAAGTATCTTTTAAGAAATATTTGAACTGCAATAGGGCCTATTGCTTTCAATGGAGTTGGCGGTTTCGCTCATCGGCAGTCATGTGATGAATTACTAACATGGTCGAAAAACCTCACTTAGCTTAAACGGATAGGCCTAATGTTATGTTATGTGACTGAATCGAAATTAAATGCATAGTCCAATTGTTGAACATGGATGGTTTCAGTTTGAAATACAAGACAGGTGTACGTTGACGAAGTAAATTTGATTTGTTTGAATACTTCTTTGGAATATTAATCTTTTACCTTCTTCAGAATATATCTAGTACCTTGATTTCTGTGACATGGAGCTACTTTCAAAATAGAAAAGAGGGCATGTATGATCAAAGAATTCGGACATTATATCACCGGTAAATATCTGCCTGGTCAATAGACTTGAATCATTTGCACATTTATCATAAAATTAAAGAGGTTAGTTAATATTACAAGATTGGTATTAAACAAGAAATCTTTCTTGAGAGTGGGTGTTTAAAACCACTTGCGGAGAGAATTTAATGGAGAGTTGTCCACCTTCAAATATAGTTGTGCACGTGTGTGTTCCGTTTAACACAGTAAACTTTCAGTCATTGTAAATTTGGTGGGTTCAACCCATAGAGCCATTGACCACTTTTCATGATAATGGTCACTTACGTTGATTGATTGGATATAAAAAGCAATTTTATTGTGATTTATAAGAGTTCAGCGTCATGGTGAATTTCGATAATTGAAAGGGTGAAGAAATAGAGAAGAACGACTCTCGTTCGCCTCTTCATCCCTCTAACTCCTTAAAGTGTGTGGTACCTAAACTGTGCGTCATACCATGGAGGTAGAATCACACCTCCATGGTCATACGTCGCCATCTTCGGATGTTCGCTGTCGTATAATGTTGCATCAGCAATTTTACAAAATCAAGTGTTATTCCTGAACCTTTTGACCGAGAAAACCGAGCTAAACATTGCTGTTTTGCATTTTGCTCTCGATATCTAGCAGTCTAGGACTGAGCACGGATTCATACTTCTGGTCTTTTGCTTATTGATATCTTGGAACAGGGATGTCATGCCGAAGAATTTGCAACCGTATCCTCCAAGATGCAACAACCAAGTAACGCCAGATTGCTGGAAAGGTTCCCGCAATTCGCCCTTGCTAATTCGTTCGTTTTCACTGCTGTGAGTTCCCAAGTAGGATGTAAACAAGGGTAGTAATTTAATTTCTTGAGGAAAATAAACTCGTGGCTAAAAAAATTTCCATGAAATGCTCTGTTAAAGCTGGTGACCAGAAACTGTTAATTTAAACTTAGAAATCAACGAACAATCAGGTAGCCTACTTGGCCACTTAATTAAGTTAACGAATATGTAATTGGCCTCCAAAAACTTCTTGTTTGCATGGGCTTTTGCTGCTTAGCGGGAGATGTCTTGTAAGGCAGTCGGCTAAAAGAGATTAAGGTGGAGCATCATCAGAATGAGAGGAGGCAAAAGTGGAGCACCCTTTAAGTGTAACTGAACAAAGAGTGGTACAAAAATATAGACCGATGTTGAGAAGGTGGAACAGCGCGGCCTCTGCAGCCCGGACGGGGTTCTGTGAGCTAGCCTAGAGGGCGCTCGCGATCTCGGCCAGCTAGCTAATTTCTAAGCGCGTGCGCGGAGCTACACCGTACATATCTGACCTGAGCTGGAGGTACATGATCGCTTATTTTCTTTCTCCACGTGCTATTTATATTGATAATACTGGACTTACTCACATGACTAGTAATTTGGAATATACCGTGGGGTAAAACTGCATCGTACATTCCACGCAGATGATTTTCATTATCCAAAGTGGGCTCCTCTATCACTTACGCCTACCCCACTGCCCCAGAACTGCGGTATCCGACCGTCTGCACCGCTCCAACGTTCCCACAGTTCCGGGGGAATACTCTCTCCGAGTCCCTATCAGCTCAATTGCAGAATACCCTGCCATCCCGCATGATCAACTTCATAGCCATGTACAGGTCAAAGTGTCACACTCTTCTCAAGGGATTTTCACCTTGTACCCACGTAACCAGTCATTCCGGGGGTCGATTTTAGAGTGAGAGATTTTTAGAGTTCTGTAATTACTCCGTGTTTAACAGGTCGTAAATACATGAAGTATGCCCGAATACCTTGATGATCAATGATATCCCCAGGACTGTGGGGTTCATCATCCACTGCTCTCTCACGAACAAGATAAACGTGGGAGTGCGCCGACGAACCACACTGTTCTGGGGGTAGGCCCCGAGGTCAGTGACAATTAAGCTTTAATAGCCTAGTTAGTTGGTGCAATAATTTTTATGATCACTTCATGATTTTTTGACCACTATTAAATTCACCGTCCAGTAGATTCACATTTTCAACTGGATAAAATCCCTGAAGAAGTGGAGAGAATCATGGAAGCTGGGGGTGTTGTACCGGATGTCATTGATGTAGCCCCACCCAGTACAGCCGAGGTCACATGGCCCAGTGGCGTGAAAGCCGAGATGGGCAATGTTGTTACGCCCACTCAGGTATTTGCACTCTGCTTCCTCGGTATGTTCAAGGGGGTCACTGAAGGTAAATGAATCAATGCCAGTACATAGGCTCTGTACATTTCAAAATTTCCAATGAGAGGACACACCCATGGAGGGGAGGGGCAGGGACCTGTGCTGGGGGGGGGAGGCACATTCCCCCATACTTGTGCCACTGTGTGCCAGCCAGAGTTCACCTGTGATGCATGCTGAACATAGACTTTTCATTCTCAGGTCCAGAACCAGCCAACCGTCACCTGGCCGGCTGAGGAGGGCGTCCTCTACACCGTTGTGATGACTGATCCTGATGCGCCCAGTAGGGCCAACCCTAAGTTCCGTGAATGGCGCCATTGGTTGGTCATCAATGTACCAGGCAACGAAATTGCCGGTGGTAGCGCCCGGTCTGAGTACATTGGGGCAGGCCCACCAAAGGACACTGGTAGAAAATTGATCTTCTAAAATTTGAGATGAAAGAAAATCAGTATCCTTATGAATGAAATGAGTAACAGCCAGCCAACTTTGTATGGTAGATAAAAAAAAACAATCTCTTTGTCTGAGGTGCTTTTTGTCAAACCATACGATGGTGTTCTTTGCAATCTATATGTATCTTACTATTTGTTTGGTTTCCTTTTGAACACTTGTTCATGTCGTGCAGTCAATTTAGTGTTAATTTTTCATTACAGGCCTTCATCGCTACGTCATCCTCATCTACAAGCAAACTGGGCGAATCAATCCAGACAGTGTGCCCTTAGTCTCGGACAGCGATTTCACAGGTAGAGCTAAGTGGAAGGTGCGTGAGTTTGCACAGTCACATGGCCTTGGAAACCCAGTAGCCGGGAATTTTGTCCAAGCTGAGTATGATGACTACGTGCCCAAGATGTATGCCAGAGTTGAGGAAATGACCGCCAAGAGGAAGCAGGAGGCAGGAAAAAGTGAAAAATAAGGTCCAGAAACTCGTGAAAAGATTAAAACAAGACATAAGACAAAGATATGGATGACAAGTCAACTGAAGATGATACACTGACATAGATTTTATTCACAAGTCAGCCACTTTTATTTGAAAGCAAGCTTAACTTTTAGTTTTTGAACCTGAGAATAAAAATATGAGCAACAAAATAAAATTTTGTTAAGATTAGTCACATTTCCAATGATGAATAATTTGAAATCTGTGATTTATTATATGTGGTTTAAGCCACATTAAAAAAGAAAGTGAGGCATGGATCAGAAAATAGTCTGACACCACCCCATTAGATAGATTACATTGAGTAAGATAGATTCAGGGAACATAATTCAAAATGGCTTCCTTAAGAATAAGATCTATTGTGTGAATTTATTGATATCCTGTAAATCTTTAAAAAGACAGTAAATTCTACACACACACCTGCACTTCCCCAAAGCTGCTGCAATCGTAACCAATGCATGTGCATTTGATGCTAAAAGGCTATTATTTTGCGTGTTTTCTCATTTACAATTCTGTAATACGAAGTAATTACAGAATCATTTTATTTTCAGGTGGTTTATTTGATTAATTTCAATGAGTTAAATGCATCAAATGTGTCTTGATGACAACAGACAGTTTGTACTTTATTCTCACTTCACATTTTGGAGAAGGTATTTTCGTTTTCTTCTTTTCTCAATATTCATCCTCCGTTATTCAATTAAGTCTCAACAATAATGAATTCATTCCTCACTGTTGGTTCACCGTCAAAAGAATTCCCAGTACCAAAAACATGCTTTGTAAATATGATTATGTCCTCAAGCTGGACATTTTACATCAATCTTGTTAGGAGTGTCTCTGAGAAGAGAGATTGTTGCCTGTTATGAGCCTGTGAAGGTTTCCATAAAGTGACTGCTTGTTGCATAAAATGCTTCATGAATGCTTCACCTGTTGTGCGTTTATTGCTACTGCCTTAATTAAAGATGTGTTGAAATTGTGATCAAAACAAGTTTGCAACTTTAAAAAGACGGCATTAAAATGCCTTCATTTTGTAAAGTTACATTTAATAGTTGTCATTTTCTTTTAAATTTTACACAGGTATGAATGAACATAAACATTTAATTACATTTACAAAAACAAGCCCCCAAACCAAAAGATACACAAATCTTGTAATTTCTAAAAAGAAAACCAACGCCATCTTCTAAGTGACATATTGAAACAGACTGAAATGCCAAATAAATGTTACAAATTGTTAAATTATGTGACAAACTGGACCCCACTAAGAAAAGCAAAGCTGTTAACATTTTACCTCAACCCTTTTCGGCTCAGCCATGAAATCTATACAGAAGAATGACAAACAACTGTTTATTGGTTTTGCTAATATCGCAACTTATTATGTAAGACACATTATATATTGTGTTAAGTGCGCTACTTTTTCTTTGATAGTTGTAAATCTTACGCTAGAGTAGATGTTAATACTCCTTTTGAAATGCACTGTACCTGACCCTGTGACCCCAAAAATATTGAATAATACTGAATAGCTTAACGATCAGTTTTACAAACACACTAAGAAAATGTTTATCAAAACAGTGTTTGTAAAAAAAAACCTTTACAAATTGCACAATAGGAAGCAGTGCAGAAAGCTGGTTACCAGCCAATAAGTCACAGGATGTACATGGCTAGTGGCTGGTTCTCAGTTCGCTTCTGCTTGACGAGTAACTTTAGCAGAAGACTCCCGATGTAGCATCTCAATGGAAAATAAATTACAATTTTGCCATCGTGTTGCACAAAGGAACATACAAAAATACTTTAGCAGTACAGTTTTGTTAAAATACATGACAAAAGGAGGGCTTTACAAAGCTTTTAAGATACAAAACTGGTCCTCTACTGGAAGTGTCACTCTGGAAATAATGTGTTGATGACTTGAAAATACTTCTTTGTTTTGGTGGACTATGTGTATCCTGTTGCGGCATTCCTGCTATCTTGTTTCCAGTAGGCCATGTTTCTTTGACAGGATGTCCACAGTCTTACTATGAGCGCTGCCAAGAGAACAATAAGTCATTCGTAATTAATATGTTTGACAAGTAATTTACATGTAGAAGATCAAGATTATTTGATATTCTGAGCCCTTTGCGGGGATTAGGTTTACCTTCCAGGTCTGATGATGGTGAACTGCCCCGGTATAGAGAGATTCACCACGGTGGAACCTAACCTGGCTTCCACAGTGTCACCAAGTTGACCTCCGTCCAGAATTAGGTCAAGCTTGGGCCATAACTCCTCAAACTCCTGCAAAGTTTAAAGTTTTAGATAGAACATACATTTGGAAATTTTCTTCAAAGCCTGAATTCATTTCAGCTTAAAATTTATTGTCCACACTGGTTTTTAGTCATAATACTAGAATTTTTAACATGAGTATTTTAACAGGCAACAATTACAATTGTATGTAGATTAAAGCAAAAGCAGTTTATTGAACAAACATATTTTTGATTGGAAAAATCACAAACCTGCACAGCCAGTGTACTTCTAGTTGCGCTGATGTTGGCACTGGTAAGCGCCAAAGGGGAACCAACGGCTCTTGCAACCTCTCTGATGAATGGATAGTCTGGAATACGGATACCAACCAAGCTGGTGAAAGGGTTCAACTCAGGGTTGAGCTCAGGTCGCCTCTTGAACACCAATGTGACTGGTCCCGGCAGAAGATCAGAAAGTAAACTGGTTGATACAGGAACTTCACTCCACCTATGCACAAAAACAATACAATAGATCAAACCTAAAACATTCATTAATATTTTGGTCAGTCATTGAAAACAAAAATTTATTGAAAACAAATGTCATCTATAGATTTCATCGTACTTTTGTAAGTCTTCAATATCTCCAACACAGATCGCAATAGGGTTGTTTCCATTTCTCCCCTTGATGTTGTATAACTGCTTCACAGAAGCAGTTGATTGGGCCAAAGCTGCTACACCATAGATGGTGTCTGTAGGGACGGCTATGACATGACCAGCTTGCAGGCTCTCAACAGCTGCAGAAACTGCATGATGATTGTCTGTTATTTAAGCGGAATAAAAATAACATTTTAACTAAGTGATTAATCTGGTTGTGACAGAATGACAATTTTTCACAATCAGCATGGTTATTGATTGTAAACGGGGTCCATGCACTGAACTACAATGCATAATATAAGGTTGTACACTACTCAGTCTCTTCTGTCCCACTTTCATGTAAGGTATGCAGGCACATCAACCAATCATGGCCAACAATTACAATGCACGATGATGTGAAGAGACTTCAAATAGTAGGCTGAATTATAAATGTACTGTTACATGAACATGTAGATACACAAATTTCACATGATCATTAGCTTGATTAACATTAGTCAGTTAGTGGTCATGGTGGTTAGACCAAACAATCATTAAAGGTCTAATGTGTTTGTGGTGCTGGTGTTATGGCGCACTTTGACTTGTCTGTGTATACTGCACCACGACCCACATATGGAGGAATAAAACTCACAAACTCTAAAACATATTACAAGTAAAAATGTTACGGCATTTGTTTTCCATGTTTTTACCATATTTACCGGCTGCATTTCCGAGCTTGATGAGTCGAGCCATTCCCACGGTTCTAATTTGACTGTCGCCGCTGAATTCTTTTAAGAAATTGGACCAATACTTCAATGCGATCCGTGTAAGCCTTCTGTAAGTTGTGTAACGAATATGAAACATTATACTAGTCGTGACAAATATTCCTCAAATCTCTCGATCATTCACGACATTGCATCACCCCTACAGACCACACGTGCATAGAGGCTGCCATCTTGGATTGACTGTTGGGATTTCCCTCCTCCACTCAATATGCAAATTGTTAGGCGGGGCCATACGTCTACGCATTCTTTCTGACTTTTACCCAATGAATGTTGTGACTTCATTATGAGTTTACGTATGGGTCCTAATATGGAAGTTACAGTACCATATTTGTAACCATTCATCCAAATAAAGCCATCTATTATCCAAATATGGCATGATGGAATGTCCGTTCAGCTGCACGGTGAAAATTGAATACCAAGTATCTGTCTTGCGGTTTACCGAAATAAACCGTGCACTTCGTGATCCCCAATGGCCCTGCTGCAATGGCGGTGAACAGTGCGAAAAACAGGTGGACTTTCCAAGTGATTTTGCTACTTTTTACCATCTATATTTCATGGACAAATGCAGATCTAGTTAGTCGATGCGAGGAAACCTGTCAGCTAACTATGGTAAGTAGTTCTACAGATGCAGAACCACTTTTTGAGCATCGTTTTGAATTGGTGAAGTCTGTCAAGTTTTCTTAATGGGGTTCCGACCATACTAGTTTGCACGTTGCATGCATCAGGAATTTTGCCCGCGTCCAGTTACAAGTATTGAAGTAGGGCATGGCTAGCTCAGAGCATGAATGCACTGAATATGGAGGCAGAAATAGACCTGGGGGGACGGCTGGTACATGTTGTTGACATTCCAAATGTCTTTTACTCACACGTTTATGGGTTTAAAGAATGTGTGCTAATACTACTTCCAGTTTTTTTATTGACAGTTCTGTGTGTTGATCTGTACTCTGTTGATGTGTGCATGGTCGATAGGGACTTGATTAAATTAGGATTGGCTTGTGTTAGCCAGGGGGGTAGGGACGGTTAATCATGGAGGAATAACATCAACAACATTTAACAGTATTTTCCAAATAAGTTAAACATGTTTCACGCCCATTCAACAGTTTTCCATTAGTTTAGTTAATTGCAATCATGTATATAAAGTCACAAAACCCCATGTAGGCTTATTTTCAAGTGAAAAAGTTGTGCAGTTTTTGTTGGAATTCCTTTGGCTTATTTTACTAAACTTTGAGAAAATGTTTCCACTACAGTCATTTGCAAAAGTTTAAGACCATTTTACTGGTATTTCTGTCACTGGGCCAGCATTACATTGTCTCATTGAATGATTACTTAATATGATTTTACAGTGGTCCATTACATCAGTGTAGTGCTATATACCCTTCTGAATTACGTTTTTCGCAAAGGCAGGTCTTGTATGACATTTTGTCTTAAAGGCAACATGGGTAAAAAGCCTGTCTATAAAGTAATCAGAAATAAAGGAGGGCACACTAATTAACATTTCAAATCATGGAAATGTAGTCCAATATTAGTCAAGATACCAAGGTTACTCATTGACAATAAACATAGTTGCCATGTTTGATTGGTTTAAGTTGGTTTTTCTTCAGCTTTATGCATTTTGTGTGGGTGGGCTTAAATTTTTGCAAATGACTGTAGAATGTGGTTTTCAGCCAGATATCCCAAAGTCACTTCAAGGGGTTACAGTTTTTATAGGGCAAACAAAAGTTCTTTTAACGAGGATCATGTGCTCATGAACTAATATAAATAATGAAATAATATAAAATAATACAAAATATTTTCTTGTTAGTTGCAGATACATGTAGAACAAACAATACTTACAGCTGTCACTGTCAAAATAGATTGGCCAACAATGAACAAAGTACATTATTTGAGAAGAATTTCTAATTAAACTATAAAAATAACTTTTATTTCATAAAAAACCATTAAGTACTGCTCCTAAAATTACATCCAATTCAAATTTAGCCATTGACTCACTTGAGTTCATGTGTTAAGTGGTTATGTCTATGTATAATAAATAAGGAATCACTGGTTCAAATGTACCCAGTGAACCCATGAAAGCTTGTAAATTTGGACACACCGCTCCCACCTCGGTATGGGGTGTACACTGCTTCTTTCTTATACATTGTTCATGTAAACTTCATTGGTAAAGTTCAAAACCTTTAATTCAATCAGAATTCATCGGATCACTCTCTGCGTGACCCTTAATGGGGTGGTGTTTGCACTTCAAAGCACGTACTACATGTACATGTTTACTGCTCCTGGACACAGGTTCAAGAAAGCTTGGGCTGACCTTTGACTTAACTCAATTTTCCGAACCCCCCAGGAGTTAGATCTTGACTGTGGGGTCATCCTAATGCCACTTGAAGTCAGACAGTCATTGATAAGCTGCTACAAAGTATATAAAGGTGCTATGTAGTAGATTCTTAGAAACTCTGAAACAATATTATTCAGATTTCAAGTCCGGGTTTGTTCAAAATGTCACTGAAAAATCTGACTCTCTGGAGGACTCAGTGTGTGGTGCGGTGTGATTTGTAGTTGTGAATATTACAGTTCTTTGCTGCTTCATAAATCTGTGTTCTTGAGAAGTTTTCTTGCTTTGAATAAGGTGTACTGTGACATTGCCGTTTTTAGGAGAATGATCATATTTGTAGATACTCTTAGCATGCCATGCATGGCATCCCACTGACCAGTATGCAATATAATCCAAATGGCATTGTGTAGTGAGATAATGGAGATTGACCTTCATGACCTTGCATGACCCCTGGTGACTTTTTCTGAGTCTGGAATCTGGAATATTTATGCGTTGAAGCTCAACATGTCAGATTACATTTTGATGAACGTGTCTGATGAATGATGTGGTATAATCATGCCCGCCTGTAATAAACACATGGCTTACATCCCTTGAAACAAACCATGTAATGAAAATATTTGGTTTAATGTCAAGCTCTGATTAATTGCTTGTGTTCAGGTGTCACATTTTTTGAACAGGAAGAATCATGAAGTTGTGATCAAGTTTTGATAACTAGCAAAGCACCTTGCCTGATACAAATATTTTGCTGTTAATTGATTGTACAGTATCAAAAGACTTGTCATCTTGTCAGACACATGAATGCTGCTTACATTATTTATTTGTTCGCTTTTCACCACGTACACAAAAAATAATTGCTACATAATTGGTAAAACACATCTACTGTGATAAGATTACAATTTGTAGCTCCCACATTTCCAACTCCAGTATGTATTGTTTTTCCAAAAATGATTTTTGTTTTCAAATTTATTCATACAGATGCGGATTGTGCAATTGGAACATTCTGTGAGCAACATTCTATCCAGAACTCAGTAGGAGTTGAAAAATTTGATATGTTCTTGTTAATGGTTCTTGGCCTGTCAGTGTTACAGGAAACTGTGATAGCTCTTGACAAGCTTTGGGGAGATTTCTTTCACCCTTAAGTGTCATTTGTTGGCTCCAAGGCTCTTGGAAGAATGGTGATACCACATGTCTTTTGTTGAGCTTGCTTGCTGAAAACAACATTGGTTGGAGTCTGAGGGTAATCAGTGTTGAAAGTCTGAGGGAAGTAAACGGGAGATGATTTATGGACTCATTGATATTCGACACGTATCTTCCCTCAACACTCCCTTGTTTATGGAAACAAAATAGGACTTTTCCTAATATTGGTTCGAGCTGTTCCTGGATCGGAAGGATTTTACTTACACCATGGAGGAATAAAATTTGTTCAGGATGTATATACATGTATGTATGAAAGTCAAAGTCAGTGTGTATGTGGCATCAGCATTGGATTTCTCTGTGACCGTTTAATACAATATTTTAGTGGGAAGTAACCCGTACGCTGTAGTCGGGCTATGCTGGAAAGCCATTTTTTTTCTAGCAATATTTTTAACCTGTACATGAAAATTTTGGCTAGGTTATTTTTTGAATTTCAGACCCAGACTATAATTTTAAAAAAATCCACAACTCTCTTACGTATTTCCAACTCCCCACATGTCTAAGTCTTCTTTTTTTCTCTTTATCCTCATTTCAATATTATTGAATCCAGTTTATGTGGACCATAGCAGCTGTTACATCTTTGCGTTTCTGACACGTTCATTGCCATAACATTCAAACTGAAATTCCTTTCAAGTTTTGACAAGGTTTACCACATCTGGTTTGGACTGAGTAGTATGCCCTTCATTAAGTACTCTTTTTTCTTTGGCGTGTGATCTGATTATTTGCATTTGAGCAATTTATCCAACACGAAGATTGATAACATGTTGGAAATATTCTACAGGTTAATCATTGCTTGGAAGTATTTGAAGAAAAGATAAGCATTAAATTGCTTTGTTAAGTAAACAGATTCGGTATGTTTATGGGCACAGTCAGCTTGTTGATTAACTTCAAAAGGAATGAAATCTTTATAATGGCATTAACCCTAACACTCCTCAGTCCTCCAACAGGTGAAGGATTGAGGAGGGTTAGGGTTAAAGAAACAAATATATCTACATGAACATTGTACAACATGGTGGGATTTGAAGGTTTTCATGGTGGAGATAGCAATTAAACTAGATAGGTTTATGGTTGTCATGCCTGAGGAAGAACAGAGCATACCGTCCGAAACGTTAGTACCATCGCTTCTTTTCAGAACCACACATACTCGAAAAAAAGAGATACATCCATGGTGCTACCGCAAACTAATCTAGTTCACTTGCACAACATGGGCAGGGCAATATTCAGAAGACAACCAACATCCTAGTCTTGCCTCAAGTCTGAATATTTTTTAATTGTCTATGCTGACAAATTGGTGTGAAAAGACAGAAATGGACTTGAAGATCATAGGTACCAAGCTGTGCCAAAGTGAATCACATAAGTTCACCTTCACCGTGTATTTTTCTTTAGAAAGGTTGTTCGGCTTAAAATGTTTGTATCCAAAAGACACAAAAACCTACACATCAGCCTTTTTTTAAATAAATTTTGGTATTAAATGCAGTTCTTCATCCGTAACAAGCCCACGCTGTGCCCAACTCACACAATGCACAGTGCTTGCCCCATGAAAAAAGATAAATAAAATACATGTTTACCCTCCAGGTGTTCCAGTCACAGAGTTTCAGAACAGTCAACAAAGAACATTTCTGTCATGCATTGATACAACTTTCTCAATTTGTGCAATTAATCATGCATTGCAAGTCTGCCAACTTGTTAACAAAGTCTTCAAATGCACAGTTTTTACCTCTTGATTCCCTTTTCCTAAAGAAACAGTTTTATTGCAGTCTTGGTGTGAACACCAAGAAATGGTGCCAACTTAGCTTTTAAACATTTTGGAAATATCACGTATGACAAACGTGCAAAATAATTTTGAAAATCTCGAGTTTTTGATAGAAGTACCAATACATGCGCAAACCAAGGTGGTAGCACTTTGTGTGAGTAGACTTCAACTTCAGGAAGTGATTGACTTCCAACAATTTCTTCCTGAGGGCAGTAATTTCTTTACTTACAAGGTCAACAAGAGAGTTCAGTCCTTGTAAGTTACCCAGCAGTTGTTTCTGTGACAGATTTTTTTCTGTGGCAGTACAAGATTTATTGGAGGTTGTGAATTCTGTCTTGATAGAGCAGCTTTGAAAGTGTAGAATTGCAAGGGCACAAGGAGTTTTGTAAATGTTTTTGAGGAGGTTCGTATAAATGATTAGTTTTCTCAGTGTGTGTTCAACTTAGAGCTTAACGTTGTAAGAATCACTTACAGTAGCAAATTCCACCATGTTGTCTGAACAGTGACAAATTACGGATGGAAGTACATGTGTGATCACACGTACATGTACAACTTATTTGTACATGAGAGGTGTAATCATTTACATGTTTGAAATAGATTCAGGAAACTTCAACTACCAAGTTTCGGTCCTTTCACTTCAAAATGATTGAACCTGACTCTCAGCCTCTGTATCAGATAATGCAGAAAGTCAGGGAAAAATCTCAATGGCATCATCAAGTGGTGTTTTGGTGGTCAGATATGTTTGCAGAGCATTCCACTCACATGACGAAAACCACTTGTCCCGATCTCATGGTCTGTGGTGTACCGCAAACTGACTTCTTATAACCAAACCACAGATAAATGAATACCAACAGAATGGAACACAGACATTAAAATCCCCTCAGGTTAAAGAGGTTGTAACCTTGACCTCTCATTGTTAGAAGTGTGGAATCAACAGATTTTGGAATTCTCTAGTATTGTTGAAAGGGTTCCTAAATGGGCAGCTGTGTTTACTTGACATGTACAGAGTGCTGATAAACATGTAAGTGCTGGGGTGAAGCCAGGGAGGGGGTTATGTACACTCAAAGATTTTATTTCTTAAAGAGAATCAAATTTTTAGATCCATGCAAATTTAAACCCTTTGCAGGAAAAGCTAATTCCTCCGATAAATGAAAAGTCAATTTTTGAGAGGTCATTGTTTCAATAGCTATGAATGATTCAGCAGTGGTGTGCTGTTCTGGAGGTTCTAGGTTCAGATCAACGGCGGCGGAATGATTTGCAAAGTTTGGAGGCCAGTTGTGAGACCATCAGACATCAGCTATGAATAAGCCAATCTGTTAAGCTCCACCCCCATTAAGGGACCTGCAAAGAGCGAATGAGGGAGGGCTATGCCCCCAGTTGAGGGCCACTGGCCCCCCTGACCCCATTCCTCTCTGTTGTTCTTATTTTAGTATTCTGTGTTTATTTCAGATGATCAACAAGAATACTGACAAACCTAGACTCGTCAGATTTACATGTAATTTTTGTTTTGTGGCTTCAGACAGACGCAAGCGGAGCAGAGAGGCTAACCTGTAATGACACATGCAGAATCAGCTCTGTAAGTTAATAACAATCATCTCAGGGATCCAATTAAACTAAGCCAGTTTCCTTCAAAAATGGAATTTGAGCTGATGTTTATAAACATGTGTGTCAAGTCTTCAATGAATCAGGTGAATGTTTTCATAGAAAGACATACATAAATAAACACAATGATGCAGACACATCAAAGAACTTAGTACACTCAGTCTAAAGTTAGGTCTGGTTTTCTGTTAACTGTAAATGATGACTTTTTGTATTTTGCTGTCACAGTGCCTTCTTACATGTTCAATGTCTAGGAGTAGCTTGGGAGAGACATTTCTTTCTGTGATGGTATTTGCTTTGATCCCCCCTTGAAAACACTGACCATAATAGAGCAGAATTGGTCGTCCGATGTCTGGTCAGAGTTTTTCTTAGATAAACAAATTATTGTGGAATGTGAAATTCAGTGATAACATGAAAGGAAGGAGTCTTAGTTGGAGTCTGAAGCCCATGGACCAATCAGATTCGATTGGACCGTGGTTGTCCAATGCCACCAGCAAGGGGCATGACGCACATTCCAAACCAAACTTGAGACAAAGTTTTTAGAAATGAATGGACGATGGGAACAATCAGTTGATTTTCTTGAAAATTTCACACAAGCTACATCAAACTCAACTGAAAAATATTTTCTCCTCAGTCACCAAGGTGTTCTTTCTGGCAGTTGCGTTCATGAGTAGAATTTGATTTATGAGAGATGTGTCTTATTTCTTCATAAACGTTCAGAGAGTTCAATAAAAAGTAAAAGAAAGAAATAAAGAAAAGGGAAATGATTTCATTTCTTTAACAGTGCAGAAGAGGCTGCTCTAATTGGAATAACACAACTGCAGAAGTGTGCAATCTACAATGTGTAAGTATATGGGTTATTAGTGTTTGATTCAAGTAAGGACATTGGTAGTTATCAAGCATTTGGGGTCAAAGGTCATATTGAATTCATCTATCCATCTGTCTGAAAGTATGTCTGCCTTGAACAATTAATCGTTTTAGTTGGATGAGAAAAAGAAACGGTCATCATTGATCTTGCTGCTTTGTTTCCTGTTTGCAGGAATCTGCATTTTCACTAGAATCCCAGGTAAGATATATGTTCATTTCTTTTGTAATTAATCATTTATGTACATATTTATAAATTTCAGGCTTGTGTGACAGAAATCGAAAAGTCTGTTTTACATTTACACATGTAAGCAAATGCGAGTCTACAGATACAGTTATGGTGTATTAACATTTGGTATTGTTGCCATCAAGCTGCAAACAATATTCTGGATTTACTAATGATGTTTTGCTCATATTATTTTCTGTCCAGAGATAGCGTAATTAAAGAGTGTTATATGTGTCATTTGTTTGTTTTAAGGTTCAAAGTTGTGGTTCAGGGTGTCTTTATGCTGAAAATGAATATGCAGCAGCTGTCAGAGGTAACATTAATAGCATTTATATTCAAAGAAAAGTATTTGTTAGACACTCCAACCAAAGCTTTCAGCCTTTGATGACATCACCTCTGTACTCATGAATATTAAAATGCTTTAGCATAAAACCAAAAGATGAAATCACAATAGATAATTGTATTCTTATTAACTACATTTGTGTACATGATGCAGAACAAGTGGATTTGGTGGGAATGAAAATATAAGAGTTCAAAAATTTTCCACTAAGAATGGTAACCACAACCCTACATATAGCTGGAATTTCTCATTTTGTTTCAGCTCAAATTGGGATTGCTTCTCCACCTTTTGTTGTGTCAATGGAGAGTATCACAAATGACAGCGTTGACATTGGGTGGATGTCAGCCAATCACCCAGCTGTGACATACATACTGCAATGGCGATATGTAAACATTGAGGGCAGCACATGGACATCGTATCACTTACAGGTAAGCGACAAGAAGCTGTTTTGATCAATGTTCATTGGTTAATTCTCATTATACCACCATTGATTCACAGCGTGACCTCACTGTGACCTCACTGCTACCTTACTGCTCACTGACCTTTTCTTGCATGTGTGTCCTTGTAGATAGGAAGATCCGATATATACAACATGACTGCCGAGGACTGTGCCGAATATCTGAACACTTGATCAATTATCAAATGTGCAAATATTATTTTCCAAATTTCGATGCAAAATATTTGATCTAATTGAATGTCTAATATTGGAAAAGTGAATTATTCGAATTGACTCAGCCCTGTGACTGCCATGTGCACAGAACCTTGATCACTCGGGTTAGGGTTCAGGGTGACCTGTTTTGAACCGTAATCACTCAGTGAGGGTTCAGGATGACCTGTTTTGAAATACAGTAACTTTTTTTCCTCTTCCCTCAGCCTGTTTCTGACCTTCAAGCATCAGTCACTGGACTACACCCATTTGTATCCTACATGTTCCGCATCCAGTGGGTCATAACACCTAGACATACACTGTCTTCTAATGCCAGCGTACAAATCACCACAGATCCATATGGAGGTAAGCCTGTCAGTGAGTTTCACAAACTCTTCTTTGAAATTCAGTCAATTTTGTAGTTTTTGAGTAGTGCAAGGTTGGTTCATTGTGTGGAAATCTTTCTTCAATGCCAAGAGCAATTCTACGTGACAGGCTTCAGAGAAAAAAAGGTCACCATTCAAGAGACCATAGTACAATAAAAGCACCTTAGATTCACTGAAATCAACCGGTTGGTCTCTGTATCTTCCTCTATATTCCCATCAATACATTCTTGTAAGTTTGACTAATGATTACTAATTTCCTGTGCTTGTTAGTTCCATTATCTGCACCCATCATCACCAGTCTTGTATCGCCAAGCCCGTCAACTATCGCCGTATCCTGGAAGACTCCAAATTTCCCTAGCGGACGCATCATCCAGTACTCAGTCTCGGTAGAGAATACCGCCGGCTACAGATCCATGGCACCGGTCGATCCAACCAGAAATAAGTACACGTTTATCAGACTGGAGCCGGGGACACTCTACACTGTGACAGTGGAGGCTAGAAATGCAAAAGGGATGAGTCCGGAAGCCAGACTGAGTATCACAACACTTCCGCCGTTGAATGGTACATGAACTGTGGCAGTCTCCTCTTATAGATGGTTTTGTCTGCTGAATTACTGCCAGCTTGAGGGATAGAATCTATCACTGAAGTATTTACCTACAGATATTTTAATCATTATTTTGTTAGCTGTTCTCCACAAGAAGTAATTTGAAGCGTAGGCATCATCAAGATTGTTTTCCAGGGGGAACCACTTTTTTCCAGGGGAAAATTTCCATGGAGTGGCAAGTACTCATCAGCTATAAACTAATAAATCCTGAACAGTGAAAGGGGGCAGCTTCAGGATATTTCAAGCTAATTGGTGATTTTCATTGACCTTTGACCCTTCTTTTCAGTTCTTTCCCTTTTCCCCTTTTTTTGTGTTATGTTTTACACTTGCTGCTTTTTTGGGGGGGCACCCCCCTTGGCCCCCCGCAACACCCATTATTAGGAGTTGATATTTAGAGAGCGTTGCTGTTTTTCATCCAAGATTGCACTACGTCTTCACCTCTGTATGATTCCCCCCCCCCCCGGCAGATACAAGCATCCAGCCCTTCTTAGTCGTTGGTGTTACAGCCTTCAATTTCTTCACCTCAACTCTGGCATCTCACGTGTCGTTCACACCTCTTGACAAGTTGGAAGATTTGACCATTTTCCCAAGTGACACACACATAGCTGATGTAGAAAATGTCACCATTGCAGGTATGGATGTGAAATTCTTCAGTAGGATTCTCATGTTGTTTATCAAGCAGAGTTGTCTTTTCAGCTCTGTATGACTTTACGACCGGTACTTGTAGATAGATGACTTGAGAAATCTTGGTAATGGTTTGGTAATACATTCTTGGTGTCAATAACACTTCAGATGTTGCAGTTCATTACTGGGAGAAGCTTCTTTATCTGTCTGATTCTGCGGGACGAATCCATCGCCGGCCTGTCAATGTGTCTAACCTGGACACTTGGAATACTTCCTCTGAGGTCATCTATAGCGGCACAAAGGTTACGACCTTGCTGACTGTTGATTGGCTGTTTGATCATTTGTACTTTGTGCAGGAAAATCAGGTGAGCTTTTTCTTTGATGATGTGTTTATTCTCAGCACTTTCTGTTCAAAACGTTATAAAGAACAGGTTTTTAGGTTCTGGGTGTTTTCTTCGTTGCGAGGCAGGCATGTTACATCTTTGAAGGATTCTACAGATTGTGTTGATTTCCCTGAAATAGGAAAATTGCAGTGCTTGCAATTTCTTCGTATTCTGTTAAGACAGAGGGTTTGTGGGTTCACCAAGTGAAATTAATCTCTTCAGTAAGAGTGGGAGTTCTGAGAACCAGTGAGTGTGAATTTAACGATTTGACCAGGATGGTACGGTCCTCCTTAGGAGAGAAGAGTTCTGAGAACCAGTGAGTGTGAATTCAACGATTTGACCAGGATGGTTCGGTCCTCCTTAGGAGAGAAGATGATTCTTATTCTCATTTTCAAATCTTACTTGTATTCTGTTATAATCATGATGAATGCATCTGTGTACCATCATCAGATTTCAGCATTTGACACTGCCAAAGTTTGGATTAAAGTCAACTCATAAATTTCATTGCAGATATTGAGATGTGATCTTGCATGCAGCCAGTCACCAGAGGTTGTGATTGATGGTCTGGACTTGACACCGACAGAATTGCATGTTGACCCTTACAATGGGTAAGGGATCAATGTAGAATCATTTATGGAGTCTTAAGATCCGTAGTTATTTGGAACTTGTGATATCACAAGAGAAGGCAGGAGTATAAATCTTTGGTTCCTGAACAAAATTATCAGTGCTGGTTTTTGGTCTTTGAGATATCAGAGAAATCTTGCAGTTTGAAAGACTTCTATTGGGAGAATTGTGTCCCTTAAAAGAGGTAATACTTGCAGCAAAATGACGCTTCATTCTCAGTTTGTGCGAGGTCACATTTTGATGTGTCAGCTGATATTTTGTGGATGTATTGAAATCAGTTCCATTAATTTGTTGAAATGGCTTGAGTGTAAATGCAAATGTTTGTTTGTTTGTTTGTTTAGGTTTATTTACTGGTCAGAGCTTGGTCTGTCAAAGGGAATCTATCGGCTTGACTTGGCTCACTTAGGAAACAATGCAACTGCACGGAAGGAGCTCATCATCCAACTTGATAATGTCGAGACTTTCCTGATAGATCCGGTTGGTTACCAAGTGATTTTCCCCAATGCCAACAACGATTCAATCGTCAGTTCTTTCTTGGATGGGTCAGAACAGGACATGCTGCGAGTGGGCGAGAACCATGTACTTGAATTTTTCACTAATGTGTCCAGTTTGGCCTACTTCAACAATTTATTTGTCTGGACTCGATATGACAACGCCGTCAGGAATTGCTCTCTCACCAATGGGGATCAATACAATAAAGCATTCATGTACTTTGAAGCCACATCTGGAACCATAATGGAAAGTGACCACTTTATCTGTGCTGAAGCTTACCACGGCTTAGACGTGTTTCATCCTTATTATCAGCCAATCCCAGCCCCTGCTACTCCACCAACTGATCTCCAGGTTTTGTTCTCAGACACAACGGCTGAAGTTTCATGGGTCAGACCAACCAATCTTGAAAGCACTGGTTAGTAATGCATTGATTCCAAGCTAAAATCTTTTGTTACAACACACATTTGTATTCTATCACTTCTAAGTATAAAAGTATTTCTGTTGAAGGAAAATTTACAGCACGATTTTCATGCCACTCGATGCTAGATGAGCACTGTTTGCTCACTTAATTCAGTTGTAATTACCTAAAACTAGTTTGGGTTTGTTAACAGGCCAGGGAGCTTGGCAGAAATGGACCTACGAGATTGAGCTGACTGATGTGATTCTCTCAGACGTGCTCATCCTAGATTCTATCCAAGGCTTGACTGTCAGCCTTCAGAACCTGACGTCAGATTCCATGTATCGCATCAGGGTACGAGGCTACTCAGAAACAGCTAGAGGACCTTGGTCAGAGAGCTTTATTGGGACTACACTTAAACAAGGTATCTGTCTTGAGCAGAAGCACACCCTCATGGTTGAGGAGAGCCGCGTTGGTCAGGAGCGTTCCTTTTGTTGGTAGCAATGGGACTGCAATGCTTGCATTTATAGTCGTCCGTGAACCAGCGATGCATTATTACTTCCAAAGGAGCCCCTGTTGCTAGAGACCCATTGTTGAATAAATAACTCTTTAGACTGTAATTGAATCCAAAAATTGTATTTGACAGTCAGTATTTCAATGCTTGATGAGTTTTCTGTTTTCTCTTTTTCTCCCAACCTCACAGTTACTGAAGACCCTTATCTTGTCTTTGCATCAAGTGACACAATCAAGAGAATCAATCTGGACGGTACTGGGTTGACAGATGTTGTGAATGGGAGTACTGTAAGAGGTGAATTTTGAACATGTAGTTGATGTTGAAATTCTTATACTAGCATGAATGCATACTCATTTTTAAAAGCTAAAAGATTGTTAAAACATTCTTTTTCTTAATAATGGCAAATAGTTGGGTTGTTTTTTATCACATAGTCCTCTTTTCTGTTGCTAGACTTTGCCTGGAATGGAAACACCTTGTACTGGTGTGACAGCATGGGTGCCGTCTTCAAGACCAATGTGACTGACCCTCAAATGACAGTGGAAGAACTGCCTTTCACATTGTACACTGAGGCACTGGCTGTTGATTGGTTCACTGGGAAGTTGTACCGTGGACGCAGTAACCAACAGGCAAGTTTTTCAGTTTCCACAGAAACCAGTTACAATTTCTATAATCTATGTCCAGTCTTTGATTTAGGGTTTTTGCCTTGGGTTTTTTTGGTTAACTCTGGCGGTATTTTTGTATTTCAGGATCTCGCAATTGATTCGCTTAATGCCTTCATGTACTGGACCACAACTAAGACTGTTGAGTGTTCACGCTTCACTGGCCAAGGACGCTTTGATTATGAGCGAATCAGTGGCATATCTGATGACCTCATTGCTGGCTTGACCCTTGACCTCAGTAGTGGCTTTGTGTACTGGTTTGCACTGACCAATGAGGATAGTGTTCAGTCATTGAAGCTCTTCAGAGCTCAGCTAGCCAGAACTGGGTAAGATTGACAATAAAATCTGTAAAAAGTAAAACTTTTGGATGGTGGTAGATAGAATGAGGATAGTCTAGTGTTCAACACTAGAGTTTGTTGTTACTTTCAACCAATAAGAAGAGTTTTAAGGGAAAGCTCCGACTGGTTAGTTACTTGACTTCCAGTTTTTAACCTGTGCTGTGATTGGTGAACATGAATCTTCTTCCTTGCATGTGACCTTTTTACTCCTTTATTAACTTCAGCGCTTTTTCTTAAACATGCATAGGTTAAGTTCAATTACCCCGTCCCATTTTGGTGGAGAATTTTGTGCATTTTCACAATGCATGTTTTTGTTTTCCATTATTTTCTGTTCTTGCCCTGGTTGATGTTCTATTTATAGCTTGGAAGACCCAGCTACAAGCAAACAAGAGGTTGGCACCGTGCCTTCAAATACAGAGTAAGTATCAACCTGCGCGACACCCACATTTTTGAGAGGATTAGTGTCCTAAGATTTTTCCCAGAGACTTGAAGTCAGCAAGACCTTGACAAAGATGCTGTCTAGGATTGAAATGTTGGGTTGTCCTATCTCGGAAAGTTCGCACTTGTAGATGGTTATTCAAATTGATGTTTCAGTGATCCATTGTGAGGTATTAATGATGGTAGGTAGTTTGGGAAAAATCTTATGATTTTAGTTGGTGGAGAATTTTAACCAACAGTCTCTGTCTTGAATTGTTGTCACTCTGAAACTGATTAAAGAGTGTACTTTTGTTTTTTTGTGTTTATAGGAGAGCTGCCTTGAGTTTCTACAGTCAGAAGTTGTTATGGATAAATGAACAAGATGAGATTATCATTGGTAGTGTGGAGGGAGGTAGTCTTGCCACACTACCTATCGGACAGGGTGCCACAACCCTCAGCATAATACAGAGCACACTCCACCCCCTGCCAGGTACAACAGAGACCCCCCCAAAAAATTCTTTTCTACAGCATTATGATTTTTTTGGTTTCAAGATATCTGTCACCATTTCTGGGGAAGAAATAGTCTTGTGTCTGTATGATTTTACTATTTATTGCCTTAATAACAAAGGCCATGTCAAGGGTCAAAGGCCACAACAGATTTTTGATCTCTTTCTCAACAAATATCTGTCACCTTTTTGCTATTGTATGACCTTTGTAGTTGTTTTAGGGGAGTGTTTGGGTGGATATGATTTCTGCTTCAAACAACTCTGCCTTAAGCTCCACCTGCTCCCTTTTTCCTAGATGGTTTTTCTTCAGTTCCCACCGTCATTCCTTCCGTGATTCCGGCTGACTCCATCCAGATTACTGGAGCATGGCATGATTTTAACATCACATGGCGCGCCAGCAATGAGGTGAACTATGGGAGTGTGTTCTATGATGTTAGTGTGACAGCCAGTAATGCTGAGTTTACAGCAGTTGTACAGGTAGAGTGAAGCTTGTTTCCTCCGTTTGATCTTAAGCACAGGAATTTGCCAGTAGATTAGATTCATGATGTCGAATTGGCTTAGATCCTAGAATGCTCGTAGCAAAATGCCAAAAGAACTTGAGTGAATTTGAATCTGATATTGGTCATGTTCTGTTTTTCAGGAAGCTGTGTATAATGTGATGGGTGTAGATCCGTTTCAGCCTCTGATGATATCCATCCAGGCTTACACCTACTGGGGCTCAGCTGAACCAGTTACAGTGACTCAGAGATCTCCTATGTCAGGTAATAATGCATATTCATTCATGCTCCAGTGATCCATGGATTCCTATTGGTTGAGAGAACATGCGAGAGGTATCAACATTTGATTGCCCTCGGTGGATTCTTACGTGGGTCAGCAAAGATACAAATTGAAGTAAAGGCTATGCCAACCGTCGACCAAAAAAATCCCAATTTTGTGTCTTTTGTTCTCGATTCTCTTGTACAGTTCCAACAGTGCCACAGACGCCCCGTGTTTTCCTTCTAGAAAACAAGGATATCTATACTGGCTTAAGTAACTACAGTGCCGTATTCCGATGGGATGCTGTCCAGGAGGCCAATGGTATTCTCCTGGGGTACAAAGTTCACTGGGGTGTGTCAGTAAATGAGCTGACAATGACGACCCTTGACAACCAGACCACAGAATTTGCTGTTCACAATTTGACGAGCAATACCTCCTATAATTTCCAGGTTGGTGGATTCTGTTATGTTTTCTCTTTGTTTCTCAAATTTTTTCTTTCCATTTTTTTTCCCTTCAATTTTAATTTTTGTAAACTTACCGAATCTTACACCTGTCCTGACATTTTTAACACTGACCGGCTTCATAAAAGAAATCTCTTGTTTTTTTTTCCCATGCAGGTGGAAGGATTCACTGCAGTAGGTAGTGGACCAGTCACTTCACTGGTTCATGTTACAACCAGTGGTAAGTTGCATTAAACTGAGCTACTTGGACAATTTCGTACATTTGTGAAGGAAAAAAGAAAGAAATGTATCATTTAATCATAAATGTATCCATCTAATATTTTGATTTTGCTGTTGAAAGTGACTTGATCTACATTCACATCTTCTTTGTTCTAGGCTTACAAATGGTTGATTCGGCTTTGTAAGTTCCCTGTATAGCTTTTTACATTGTATGCAAACCTAGCACATAAATTATTTAGCTAGAGTTTAAAAATCCTGTGATTTTTTTATTCTCCCCATAGCGCCCAGTCCTCCACCCGTCATCTTCTCCATCGGGTCAAGTGGTATCACACAGATGGACCTAGACACCCAGACATCCACAGAACTCCTGGGTGGGGAGAGTGTGTCAGCTGTTGCTTTGGCATTTATTGCTCAAGAGAAAATCCTGTTCTGGGCCGACAGCACCAAACTGATGGTGAAAAGCAGTAACTTTGATGGCAGTAATGAACAAAATGTGAGCAGTTCTTAAATGATGACATTCCTTATCGAAAAGCTAGCAGAAGCTGTTTTGGTTATAGTGCCAAGAATGTAGCATTCCTTTGTTCCAAGAATGAGACTTTGCCAAATGTACCAAAGAGAAATCTTTTGGACCGTCCTATCTGTTGATCTATCAGCTTGATAAGAAAGCACCTGAAGTTTCTCTGAGATTTCTTCACATACCAAGATCGGCAACAGTCGAAATTGTGCATCAGATGCCCCAAATGATTATTTTTGAGCAATAGTGTTTAATTGTTTACCCCTAACAGTTATTTCCAATTGAAGCTGGCTGCCTGCCCCAAGCAACTGGTCTAGCGGTTGACTGGTTGTCGCGTTGTGTCTATGTTGCAAGTGGTAATAAGATCTTGAAATATGACACAACCCTTCCTACCGAGTCTGCGTTATCTACCATCACCGGTGTTGAAACATCAAACAATGCCTGCTGGTACCAGGGCATTGTGGTAGATCCTCTGAACAGGTAAGTACTGTTTGCAAAGAGTAGTGTAGCTAATCTGGAGTAAACCTGGCTCATCTACTTGTGAAAGGTTGTTCAAGGGCAATTAGTGAAGCCTCACTTACTACACAGGTGGACAGCAACCTGTGCTCCTGTTCAGTGTAACACTGCATGCTTGGTGTCCTGCGTGTCACGAGCAGGTGCACACTTGTCAGATTTGACCGACATTAGTCAACAGAGTTACGGCTGTGATTGGTCAAGACATCATATGAATGGGGCTATTAGTGGATTGGTCTTATGTGTATTTGTGTCCCTAGGCAAGGTTCTTTACATTTGCCTCTCTCCTCTTCATTGGGACATACATGCAGTTGTCGATTGTATACCCATCAAACATAGACAAATTCTTTTTAAAAAATAATTTCTTTACTTTGCAGTCGTCTGTATTGGACTGAGCAAACAGTCCTCATGACCTCAGACCTGCAAGGTCAAAGTTTACGACCTCTGTTGGGTTTCCAAGGGGGACGACGGAAACGCCAGTCATGCAACTGCAGTCCAGATGTGTCAGTTAGTGGTGCTGTCGCCATGGACCAATCAAATCCTCAGAATCCAGAACTGTTCTATGCCGTCATGATGACTGGGGATATCTACGCTGCAGATCTCGATGGCTGTCAGTGTCGACTGGTTGTCACTGCGTCTGAGCATGCTCAGTCAGGTATTGCCCTAGAAAATGACCCACTCTCCTTTGTCAAAAGGAGTTGTTGCCACTGTTAATATCATTGGTTCACAAGGTAGATGTTACATTTCCAGTGGCCAGGCCTAATTTTTCCAATTCTAAAATTACATCAGTGAGTTATACTTGGTGCTGTTGAAGAAAAATTATATGTCAGATACAGTACTCTTACAATTTGTAGCCGTTTGAATTAAATGTCACCTTTAGAATTTTTCACAATTGTTTTCATAGTCTTGCGTTTTTGTCCTGGAAAGATAAAATAATGTTTATTAAACTTCAGGTCTGCCTCCAGACTCACTGACTGTTGACCAGACTAGGGTGTACTGGACCAATGAGAATCAAGGGATAGAAGCCAGTGTTGACAAGGTCACAGGTCAAGATTTCAGGTCCAGGAGTGTAACTCCAGTCCCTACCTTAGCTGCCTTTGGAGAAAATCTTCAGCCGTACCCAGGTGAGTTCGGAATTCTCACAGAATGTCAGCACTGTTAATGACCTCAGTTGGCTATTTCCAGTCTCTTGTCGTAATGGTACATTTTCTTGATTTTGCAACTATTTTTATATTTTTCCGATCTTTGCTGTGCAAAGACTGGAGGGGTGTGGTTTTACTTCTTCCTGGTGGGTCAACTTTGCATTGGGTTATCATTTTTCCTTTCAGATCCAACATGTTTAGCACCACTACCTTATACCTCCCAAGCTCAGCTGGTATCCAGCACAAGCAACTCATTAAACCTGAGCCTGACACCAGCCGCAGTGCCCTCACAGTGTACTAGGGTCAGTAGGTCAGCTGTAGTTTACACACTGCATTATGGGAAGACAGAGTCCAGAATGCAGCCACTGATGACCAAGGTAAACAGTTGCTTCTAAGGAGGGAGTCTAGTTCACGTAGCTTCAAAACTGAGGACTGGACAACATTTTTGCTCTTCAGTGATGTCATGTTTGTTAGTAGTTTAACTTTGATCACATTGTAGAATAAGTTGGAACTGAAAGGAAGAAGGACACCTGATTGAAGCTTGATTTGTGCCTGCAGGTGGTTAAAGACCATTCCAAAGCTCTGACTGGGCTATCACTATCCATGTAACCCTGGGTCACACCTCAGCGTCTCATTTATCCTGAGTAGTTTTCTAAGCTATTCAGAAGGTTTTCATTTAATGTTAGAAATCCCAGAGAAAATATTTTTTCTGTCAATCACAGACAACAACTGATACCAACATCCTTCTAGATGGCTTAGACCCTTTTACCGAATACAACATCAGCATCTCAGCTCATAATTATTACACCATCGGCGATCCACCCCTTGGACCAGTGGCAATCTCCATGACAAACTTTGGAGGTAAGCAGAAACATCTGTGCCAGTCAGTTGATTTGTTTCAATTGCCAAATGACCCTAGACACAGAGAATGATTCTTATCTATGGAAGTTTATATTGAATCCCTTTGAACCTGTGCTAAGGCAGAAGGGTTCTCCATGCTGTGATATCTCATCACATCATTGCTCAAAGCAGGCAGTCTAATCTAGAATATAAAATTATTATTGATTTTCAGATTTCACAGGACTTAAAATTGTTACACCTTTGTTAATCATTTTCTGAATGCGCACTCTTATCAGTCAGATCTTTTTTTGAAATAACTCATACCTTCTTTATCTTTGTTTATACCTTCAGAGTATTCACTTTTTTTTTCATTTTGCATGAATTTTTATTTGTCAGCACCTAGCGAAGCACGTAATGTCACCGTTACTGTCCTTTACCCCTACGAGGTCAGGGTTCAGTGGCTCCGCCCCTTGGAGCCCAATGGACCGATTGAACATCTGCGCTACAAAGTCATCTTCTTCCTTGGTGTGAATTCAGTTGGAAGTGAGACACTTTATCCCGTTGGCAACAGTTCAGCGCTTGTTTTGGAGATGACCATTAATGGTCTGATGGGGGGAACCGATTACAACTTTCAGGTAGAATTTTTTAAAATCTAGCTGTTGATGGTTGTAATTCCTGAATTTGAAGTTTAAGCTTTTCAGCATGTCAATTTGTCAAAATTACTTCAGAATCCCCAAATGTTTAAAGAAATGACACTGTTTCGTCTGTAAAATGTTTGTTGAGATCCAAACCTAGCTTCTCAGCGTCATATCTAAAGTACCCTTCCCAGAAAAATTTCCTTTAATCTCACAGGTCAAAAGCTATCCAGCATCAGACATAGAGGCTATGAGTCTGAGCCAGCAGGTTTCCACGACAACCTTCCAGGTTCCAGACATTGTCAGGGTGTTGTCAAGCTCAGCTGACTCCATCACTGTGAATTGGACATCACCTAGCGATGGTAGTGTGGCAATGCATAGGATAGAGTATCTCTACGCTGGATATCGAGGACTCAGTGTAAGACAAATGTTGACAAGTTTCCTTTCTTTTTGTCTGTGCCATCAAGGAATGCACAAATCAAACAATCTTGGAAGATACTGATTGGATGATTGGTCCCTAAAACTCAAATTTGTCCAAAAAAAATAAACTGAAATTGTCCAAAAACATTGTGTGTGTGAGGTCATCAAAAATGAAAACAAGTTGTTTAGAGTGAGAAGAAACTAAAGAGATGTTTGCATGTGATTCTTGACACCAATTTCCTTGCGTGCAGTTATGTTTCTCTAGCATTACAGATGTCTTGATATTCTTGAATTTTATGTTGACAATGTGGAAAATGTTTGGCTTCATTTGTCAGTCTGTTCCAAGCGACAACAAGCTTTCATCCGAATGGAGTTATATCAATGTGGATAACCAAACGCAGCCAAGCACCGACTACCAGGAAATTCTTACCAACTTGGAACCTTACTCTCATTATCACATCCGTGTTCACGTCACCTACATCACAGACAGAACCTACGATTACTCACAGGATCTTGAAAGGATTATTAGCAGTGGCACAACAGGTTAGAAAAGCAGCATTTACCTCTGGGAAGTGACACAATATCTGAGTGCTATTGTTGGCCTGTTTGATTTGAAAAAAAACATGGATTGGAAGATTCTATCCGCCTTCCACGGGAGTATCCCCTCAATGGTTGAAAAGAGCTATTTTGGTCGGGAGTGTTCATTTTGTTGGTAGCGATGCGACTGCAACGCTTACATTTCATAGTCGTTTGTAAACCAGCAAAGTGCAGTTCCAACCAAAGTCGCCTCCATTGCTAGGAAAATTGCGCCCTCTCTTGGTCCAGCTTGGGGCTCATAGCTGATCAGTGAAAACAATCCAAGTGGAGAGAGTTGCCCGATGTATTGCATGATTTAAAAGGGCATGCGAGTGGTGTTACATTCAGATTAGAAATGAAGTTCTGTCATAGAATTCACCATGATGGTAATTGGCTTTTTTCCTTCATTGCTAGCTGGGCTGCCTGATGCACCTGCCCCCCCTGAGATCATCGAGAAAGCTCAAGGATTTGAAGTGAGATGGACGAAACCGGCTGTCAATGGCCCTGAGGAAAACTTCCAATATATCCTGCAAGGAAAGTGAGTCAATCATTGCTGAAAACCTCACTTGCTCTCGAGAGAAATGTGTTTTCATGGCTAATTAGGAACTGTGATCACTGTTCCTGAGCATGACAATTTTCCACAATTGCGGTTACACAAGTGGCACAAGGCACAAGTGAAAGTAGAGCCAGTTTGATTTTTAGCAATACTAGATTGTTAGCTGAACCTGCTGCTATATCATCTACCAGGCCCACATGCATGAATGACCGATGATTGTTCAAGACTAAGCAGGAGGTTGTGGGTTCGAATCCCACCCCTCTTGATGAAGGATAGGACCCATCATTATAACAATTGCATGTGTTCAATAGGAGATAAAACACTGGCGCAGCACTCCAGTGGTTCAGGGTTCGAGTCCCCAGTGAGCATCCTTGTCTTTGCTGAATTGCATTCCTGACAGATCCAGTAAGGGTAGCTGGCAGACTGTCTACCAAGGCAACCTGGCATCGTGGGAAGCCACCAATCTGACAGAAGGAGAGTTTTACACCTTCCACGTGGCTGGTTACTCTACTGTGGGTGTTGGACCTTATAGTGCAACAAGCCAGCCACAGGTCTACATGACAGGAGGTTGATATCAAGATTTTTCTAACTGCTATTCCAGAAAATCCCTGATATTATTCAATATAGTCATTTGTGAATGATGAACATTCTGGAAGTAATTTACCCATTTCAGGTATTTATGTTGGTCTATTAAACTTTTTCTTCATTTGTGATTTAGAAACTGCTAGTTGGGAACCAAGAAAGATTCATAGACCCACCCTGACCATTGATTTCAATAATTTTTACAAGTTGGTCATCAAAACATAGAGTTCTAGTGAAAGTCTGGTATGGTTTGGTCTAGAAATAAATATGCTACTGGATTTTTTTCCTTTTAGGTCAAGAAACCCCAAACACATTGATAATCATTATTGTTGCTGCCGTGGTCTTTGTGCTAGTCCTTCTAGCTATCATCGTCGTCGCGCTAAGTAAGTTGTATCTTTTGCTTTCCTTTTTCTTCTTTCTTTGAATTTTAACATTTCTTTGTTCTTTACGTCATCTAAAGACACAAAATTCTGGCACTGTTTTTCTGAATTTTTTGTTGCCATGGATTTGCTGCATTCCAAAGGAAAAAATTTGTAGATTTTTGGAGTAATATTCTGCCTTTAATCTTTCAGTTCTACGTCGTAGAGCAAAGAGAGATGCCAAATGGAAGAACAGCGTGACTGTTGAATATCGAACCGACACCGAGTTAGCTACCCTACGACAGTACCCGACAACCATTGTTCAGAAAGATAACTCGCTGTATGCTGTCACGTAAGTTGAAGCCAATCAGCCCGTAACAATTTTGATCAACTCTTAGCAATTCTCAAGTCACTCTGGTAAAAGTCTTTTTCAGACTCGTTGTATTTATAATTTCACCTTCTGTATTGTGATATTTATTTCATCTTGCAGTACCACAGTTGACGGAAAGGAGGTTGAATTACCCATCTTCCCGAGGGAACGACTCAAGTTGATAACTTTCCTTGGCAGCGGAGCATTTGGAGAAGTCTTTGAAGGCCTTGCTTTAAACATCCATGGGCCAGACTCGGGAGAGACACGGGTTGCTGTCAAGGTAAAGAAAGATGATTTCACTCTGGTGAAACAAATAATTATTGCCGTACTGCTCCCTTTACACTAAAGGTTTATCTTATAAAACAAAAAAACTATATTTTACAGCAAACCTGGTTTTGAAAGCAATGAGGAAAAGGTAGCAACATACAGACCGTGTCAGAAAACAACGTACCGACCTATTCTGTGCTGCCGCAGTTTACCTCTCACATCTTGACTTTGACAGAAAAAATCGTACATTTTGAGAGTCAGAATGTGTTGTGTGATGTTCTGATTGATTCACTGGTGTTTTCTCTTGCCATGGTTATAGACATTGAAGCAAGGGGCTACAGATCAAGAGAAAGAAGAGTTCTTGAAAGAGGCCGTACTGATGGGGTATGCATACATGCATTATGTATTCACCTTTATTGCTGAATTTTTTGGTAATTTAACAAATTTGTTAATTTGGCAGATTATTCATTTTCACTGTGATTTTTGGGACACTCAGTCAGCCCACTATTGCACTCATGGGTAAATCACGACTTTCAGATGTTGGATTGAAGTTGATAGGAAGTGTTCTTGGAAGCATGATACCTGCCAAGGAGTTTGCATGGATCATCTAGGTATAAACACAATCATTTCTTGAAATGACAAACTCACTGGCTACACAGTGCCCTGATGCCATTTTTTACTTGATTGGATCGGCTGTTTTCAGTTAAGTGGAAAGTTGTTTTATATTTGCCTTTCCTCTCTGAGTAGTAATTTCCACGACAAGAACATCCTTGGACTACTAGGGGTGTGTTTGGACAATGATCCTCAATTCATAATCTTGGAGTTGATGGAAGGTGGGGATTTGCTGTCCTACCTTCGAGGCGCTCGTGGAACCTCCATTACCCCCTGTCGTCTGAGCCCCTTGGACTTGACAGACATTGTCATCGATGTTGCTAAGGGTTGCCGGTACCTGGAAAGCCTCAAGTTTGTTCACAGGTAGGTCTGGAATGCAGCCACGTCCATGTTTTATTTTTAAATCATAACTTGGATGGTAAGAGTTTGTAAAAGATAAATTCATTTGATTTTCTTCTCAGGGATTTGGCTGCTAGGAATTGTCTAGTCTCCACGAAGGATTACCTTGCCCCGGACCGATCGGTCAAGATTGGCGACTTTGGACTAGCTCGTGACATCTACAAGAGTGATTACTATCGTAAGGAGGGTGAGGGATTACTACCTGTCCGTTGGATGTCACCAGAAGCCTTGATGGACGGCGTATTTACGACCCAGTCAGATGTGTGGTAAGGCATAGTTTATGTCTTGCTGATACCGTGGGAAAACTTAAACATTTGTTGTTAGTGACTTTGAAACATCTTTAAAAGTTTGCCCAAAACAAGCCACTTACATTGGCATGATTTTTCTGTTTGCTGTTTGTGTATCTTGACAGGGCGTTTGGTGTCTTGGTATGGGAGGTCATGACCTTAGGCCAGCAACCATACCCGGCTCGGACTAATGTGGAGGTCCTGCACTATGTCACAGCCGGTGGAAGATTGGACCGGCCAGACAACTGTCCGGATGATATGTAAGTAACTGTCTGACAAAAATAGACCCTTGTACGTTGTCCAGGTGTCGAGATATAGAGGAAACAACTCCTCAGTACCGGCTGTATTGAATTCTGTTGAGCTAATTAAAACAGAAATTTGTTCAGTGAAAAAATACTCGCTTAGCAGGAGGAGGTGACCAGCTAAAATGCAGTGGTTTGTATATTTGGTGTTACTGTTTGCCTGCTGATATTTGCTTAGCACATACATTTTCGAGGTAGTATCTACTGAAATGTGGCTAAGGACATCTCTCTAAACAGATTTATTTGTAATGGCTTTTTCAGGTCTGGTACGCATGAAGTTTTCACTGTAAACAACACGATTGATCATCCTTTTACTTTTCTGCAACCTTTGCAGAGACTCAATTTCTTATTATTTAAGTGACTGATTAAAAAAACGACTGATTGAGTTTGACCTTTGACCTGATCTTTGGCAGACATCACCTAATGCTGAAGTGTTGGGAGAAACAACCAGAGGCCAGGCCATCATTCCATTCAATCCTAGAGCAGCTGAACACGTACAGGCGCAAGTCGGCTTCAATGTCTAGCGGGGTGGATAACCCAGCGTTTGACAGTAAGTCCATCGTCATTGCCTATGGAATTGATAATCATGCTTAACCTGTTAAGAGTTTTGAGTATATCTAATCTCTGGAAGTTGTGTTCTGTCAAATGAGCTGTGTACTTTGTACAT